CGCGCTTGCGAGCTATTAGCCAATATGTGTGTGACGAACAATCAGGTTGATTCATAGTTAACCATATTATATTTTCGTTGCTTCTTCTTTCGAACACTGTTCTCCAAAACAGAACCATTTCCTCCAAAACTTCATCTAATACTTAAAAGAACGTTTTTTTAATATCCTATTTATGCCCTAGCTTTCGTAGACCTCTGTTCTTTACAAAGTTGAATGTCTTTTGATAAAAGAGACTAAATCTCTAGACGCTTGCAGTTCACTCGTTTTGCTCTGCGTAAGAATAGCTGGATTAATACTAACCAGTGCGTCACCTCTGCTTCGCAGAGGCTCGCACTGGCTTTATCTTATATATAAAGCTGAATGTCTGTTTGTATGTCTGTATGTATGTCTGTATGTATGTCTGTATGTATGTCTGTCTGTCTGTACGTATGTTCCGAATAGAAAATTCCATTTCTGAACCGATCCGGACCAAACTTGGCACACATACACTTCGGGCCCAGGCGGGTGTCATAGGCTACTTTTCGTATCGATCGATATCGATTTTATCGATTTTTTGCAAAATTTGAGCTACGGGGCTGGGAGTTGGCACAGGGGAGTAAGTGAGCATGGGGATTCCGAATACAATATTAGTTTTTAAAATCGTGCATTACTTTTATCGATTTTATCGATTTTTTTGCAAAGTTTTGCATCGAGCATGCTGATCACCCCCACGGGGGTGATCAGCATGCTCGATTACCCCCTGTGCCAAATCCCAGCCCCGTAGCTCAAACTTTGCAAAAAAATCGATAAAATCGACATCAATCGATAACGAAAAGTGGACTGTGACACCCGCCGGGGCCCGAAGTGTATGTGTGCCAAGTTTGGTTCGGATAGGTTGAGAAATGGAATTTTCTATTCGGAACATACGGCGGAGCCGGGTATGCCAGCTAGTTATCCATATGCCTCATTACTTTCCCATGATAATGGCATTGAAACTCACCGCGCAGTGGCCGACTACCACGAATAGGATGTAAACAACCGCTCATTTTAGCAGCTTTTTCACGTGAGATCGGTAATTTTGCGAGGATGGAACTTTTCGCCGAAGAACAAATGCAAATTTGAGTGGGTTTCTGGATTTTTTTATGGTTTGATAGTTGCCATAAGGTCAATAGCCAGCCGTGAGCAACACTTCTGCTTAAAAATCTTCTCAAATGTGCCAGTAGAACGTTTTCAAATTGACCATTTACGCAACCAATCCATTTTGGCGTCATTTTCGCAAAGTAGTAGATTTTTGCCCATTATTTGGGCTAGAGTAAAAGGCTTGCACATTTACTTGTCAAACACCTCAACGACTTCGCAAAAAGTGCTGATAGGGACCCAATTTTGTGGGTCAGAAGCGAAGTGGACTCGTTTGACGCGCAATTTCTGTGAGTTCCACTCAACGAATCCGCTCATGCTTTTGCATGGTGGAGTTTTGTGCTGGTAGCATGTGCTGTGCAAAATTTGGGCCCAGGACTTTTGCTGGAACGCGCTCCACGAATTTCGTAACAGACACACACACACACAAAGTCACGTAAACATCCTTAGCCCGTTATTATAAGTAACCAGTGCGTCACCTCTGCTTCGCAGAAGCTTGCACTGGCTCTAATATCCACATGCCTTCCTCATACTAGCAAAATGATGGCTTTGAAACTTACCTCGCGATGCTGATCATCACGAATAAAATGTAAACAACTGCTCATTCCAAAAGCTTTTTCATGTAAGATCGGTGACTTTGAGGGAGAAAAAGTATTTTCCAAAAGATTAAATGCGATTCTGGATCAGTTACTGGGGTTATATTGGCTTGATAGTCGCCAGAAAGATGATGACAACCGTGAGTTACATCTCTGAGCAAAAATTTTCTCACAATCCCAAGTAAAATTTTGACAATCGATCATCTACGCAATTATTCCTTTTTGGCGCCGATCTTGCATGAAAGTAAACTTTTTGCTCACTTTTCGGGCAATTTCACAGGTTCCAGTTATCTCGGCTTGTGCTTTTGCATATTTTACCTACTCAGATAATCGCCGGGGGCAGGCGGTCCGCAAACTCGCGCTTTTCTGCAGGCGGTCAGCAGGATTTCGGGGCGTGGCCAAATCAGCGGGCGGTATTTGCGTTTTCTGCAAGCGGGCATCAATACATTTTCTGCAAGCGCTCGTCAAACAATCTCTTTCAACGAGCGCTGGCCAAACTTTCAGCAGGCGCTCAGACTCTTTTTACGCAGTTTCGGGCGTACGCCGAGAAAAGATGAGACTCTATGTGGCAGAGGTGCCATCGATGGTTTTATTACCCAAGTTTGGGGTACTTTCTTTCAGCGGAAAGTACCTGAGGGCTGCGCGGTCCTTCAAAAAGGACCGTGCGGCTCTCAATAATTTTGCATGTTTTCGCGGAAAATCCGCGAGAATGCGGCCACTGTGCCGCAACTTATGTATAGAAGAACCGCGATAGATCTTCGAGCGTTCGTCCAAAAATTGGCCAAAATTATTCCAAATTTCTGCAAGCGGACCACAAAAAATCAGCGAACTATTTTTCCGGTGCCCGCTTGCTCAAAATTCGCATGGCCGCTTGCCCCCGGCGATTATCTGAGTATATGTTGATAGGGTGCTGACCAAAATTCTAGTTCAAGACCTTTGCTGGAACTCGCTCTACGAATTTCGTGACAGACAGAGATTCAGAGACACAAACACACACACAAACGTAAACAACCCTTAGCCCGTTATTATAAGTTATGATAATAGATACTGACAATCAAAAACTTTTGTGCTAAAAAACGCTTTTTGGCGGAATCCTCAAGAAAAATCCTGAGCAGAGAAATTTCATCGGAAACTTGGTTGGTTATCGGCCGAATATTTGCAGTGTACAGCAAGAGTGTACGGGTACACCTATTTAATGGTGGTTTATCGTTTTATTTCAAGAAGCGAGGAAGCACCGCCATTTTCCTGTGGTCATTCAAAACATATAGCACGAAGTGCTTGCTCACGTTTGGCGGAGGAAAATTGAACAATTACAGAAAGAAAAAACAGATTTTTAATCGTCGAAATCCCCCAAAAAATAAATAAGTATTTATTGACTTTTCCACAATTCTGTTTCTCAAAAAACATCAGCAAAAACCAAGCTTGGCACCAATCCTCAGAGCCATTTGCTATACGATGAAGTATGCTCACTTTTGCTACATTCCATGTTCTTTTTAAGTAGAATTTCCAAAAAACTTTGGCTCTTCAAACAATCAAATCTCAAATTTGATGGTTAAAGTTACACAAAATATGTTGTGCGGCCAAAGATGTTATTTACTGTACTTTGTTGCGCATGAAAAGACTTTTTGAGTAAGATTTATTTTAATATGAATTTAAATTATATAAATCGTGCGAGCATGGATTAACTCAGTATTTGAAGGCGGTTGAAGACGCGTATTCATCTGCTGTCACTAATCAAAGGAAACAAAAAAATGTTCATGTTTATCTTGCTCCTTTCTGATGTAATCTGAATGACGCTCTGCCATACCCTAATAGAATGTCGACAAAAAATTTTCGTGTAAATCTTTTCCTTTTGTGGAGTACGAATCCAATTTGAAAATAACGCTGCCAAAATGCAGCTTGATGCACGCCGTGACGAGATGCAATCAAGTTCTGGCCCAATTTCTGCAAGGGACTAGCGGTTAGCTACAACCTGCAGTGAGCGATTACAAGCTGATCACATTGTGTTTTTGGAAGATCCCGTCATGTGCATTCAAATCGCAAATTGAGGTACCAATTCAAACATCAAGCGAAGTAGTAGCTTCATGTGATTTCAAATCTCAGCCTAAGAATTTCTCATCTCTATCGATCGCTGACAGTTTACCGTGTTCACGATTCGTATGCAACATATAGTCGGCAAAACAATCGTCAGGCCCTTTACTAGGACTGCCGGTCGCTGTTATTGAGCCGTCACTCACCAATGTTACTCGCGTGCGCAATGTTCGGAGATTGTTAGTTTTAACTATTACGAAGCGATGAAATTACATGCTTGTGATCTCACTTTATGGTAGGCATTATCCGGCGCGTTCGAAGCTATTTATCATCATATAAATTTAACCTTTGATTCCACGGGCTTGGCTTCGGAAAGGCGGACTTTGTGACCTGATCAAGACCGCTTGCGCCCGCGACAACCTGCGCCTCTCTTGCGCGAGTGCTCTCTGATCGTTAATAAGCCTTGATTGGGTCACGAAACCTTCCCGAAGCCAAGCCAGTTGAATCAAATGGTAGTTCTCCGGGCAAATCTGGGTTTGTCGGCTTTTTATCTGAATAACGATGAGAGCGTTCTAACTAAGGCACTCCCCAAGCGGTAGCGCAAATGTTTCATTTACTGCTGAAAGATCCGCCCCTAAACCCGTCGAGCTTGCGCCTAACCCAAAACCATGTCTTCCCTCACTTCAACACTAAGTTCGCGCTGGTACCCATTCTAAGCCACCCGCTAGTTACGGTCACGGCGTAGGCCAGAGTGTTTGGGGGTTTGATTTTTCGGCCATGAATGAATCGGCTGCACTGCCCTTCGGGCAGTGCTTCAGCTAGGACCCCTTCATCAATTTTCAGGCAAATTGCGCCCAGATTTGCCTGGACGCCGCCTCTGAAGACATAAAACTAGTAGAGTGCGAGCCTCTGCAAAGTTGTCGTGCCTTAGCACTATAAGAAGCGGACTTACTTGTGAGGTTGTGCCATATATACGACATGGAGAGATAATGCGGGCTAAATTTGCGAAATCGTCCAGCCATTTCGTAGGTATTTTTATCACAAAAGTGCTTTACAAGAGAGCTTTATAAAATCCAGTTATTGTTTTTTTGTAAATCTTAGCTGGTTCGTCAAAACTTTAACCATTCTTCACTGTTGACCGCCTTGATTTACTTCTTTTACTACAAAAAGTTTCTTGCTTAAAAGTGCGTACAATCTCGTAGCAAGATTTAAGAAATTGAACAAGATTTCAGAAATTGGTAGAAACGTGAAGCTTACAGTTACTGGTGTTATATTCAAGTTTCCTTCACTTCCCTGGTAGCATGAATAGCAAGATACATGAGATATCCGAGTGAGCACTGATATAAGCGAGACTGAAAATAATCGTTGTCACACGCCTTGAGCATACATGGGCTTACGTAATATCCAGTGACTGTTCATGGCAAAACTTAGCTAGCAATGAACCTACATCATGTTTTCATTTCTTGCAAGCGAAGACCATCAAGTTGAAATGCTCAATTGGGATTTGATATACAGAGACAAAAGCTTAGGGGTTAGTCTCAAATGTGCATTCTTTAGCTGCGAAGCATTTATGTAAAGCAAACTATAGCCCTCTGAAATTCAACATATGCGCGTCTAAAAAGCCTCCCGGCTGCTTCAATATGGCCGTGTGATATATGTTATATGTGTTCCGGACTCACAGGTGGCAAAGTGACGCTAATTTTTGCGCTCTTGTCAAATTTATTTTGCAGTTTAAACGCAAAATTGCACTTACATTTGATTTTCTACTATCTTTGAAATCTGTCTTGCCTAAACGCGCATAACGCCTCCTTCGCGCACCCTTGGAATTCCATCGGTATGTGGACAAATATCCCAAACCTTTGAAGACCGATCGCTTTTAGGCCCCGGGCAGACTTCACGCGATTTGATCGTCGCGACTGAATTGCGAAGAGACAACTGTTACAACATCATTCCATGCCGATCAACTTGCATTTCGGTTGTGATACTTTTCCAGCCCAAAATTTTTGAATGTAAAATGAAAATGAATGGAAATGTTGGCGATTGAGTCGCGACGATCAAATCGCGTGAAGTCTATCCGGGCTCTTACAGACTTGCTTGCTGCATAGCTTGGAATCAGATGTTTGTTTTGAGCTCGCCCATTCAGTTTTTATTCGCTGTGTAAATTGTGGAAAGGATTTATGCTTCAAAGGGACAAAACAACAAACACCACAACAAACAGACAACTCCGTATTGATCATGTTGATCTATCGTAACAAATTTGTAGCATCCAGGCGCCCGGCCTAGGTTTTTTGTCACACTATTAGTCTTAAACAAACCCATGGGATGTTCGAATCACCATATCTGTGTGTCGGTTCTAAGATGTGAAGTTCGTTAATCAACAGTTTCTCGACAGTCACCTATTCACTGTTCTGTATAAGCTCTTCTGTATCTTATTATCTAGTACTCTTATTCTCTGTATTTGTATATCAGCTTCTTCTTGTGGTTTGTCATATTACTGATAAAACATTAGATATTACCAGTTGTCCTGCTAAGTCAGTGGAACCTGCGGTCCTACAGCCACTATTTCAATAGATCAGCACATATCTCAATAATGAGCTTTTCTGTGAACAATTTAATAATGTAGAGGACAAGCTGGCATGATCAGTTTTGCTTGCACCGCGGATACATGAACAAGGAGCAAACTTGATGCTTAACTTTGAAGGCTCAACTTATCTATGTTTTGGCTTCCTTCTATTTTTCGTCTAACGCAGTACACATATTTGGTGATTGCATCGCTGTAAATTACGGCAATTCCCGCATTGTGGAATGAAAATGAGTTCTACCGGTGTTGTTTGCACGAACTTGGAAGCTCAGACAAATCACCGGAACTTCCGCAGAACAAGCCAAATTTGCAGAAGTTCCGCAGGACCTTGTTCGCCATTGCAAAAACGAAAACGTTGAAAATCGGAACTTCCGCGGGATTTTCATGCCAAACTGGTTGAAAACCGGAAGTTCCGCAGAACCTCCTTCAAAACCCTGCGGAAATTCCGAAAAGTGCCAGAAGCACTTTGGCCTGCCAGAACTTCCGCAGGACTTTGAATGTGGTGTATGATGTTGCCTCGCCAACAATTAGAGTGCATTATCGAACACGTCAGCCGTAGTGCAGAGGATAGTAGGTGAGTCTCACAATCAACAGAGTAAGGTTCAAATCTTGCCTCGGTGTTCTCATTTGCTGTTGTGGTTGGCATTCTACGAAACTTCCGCAGGACCTCATTTCGGAATTTCCGCAGCACGTTTACGGAACTTCCGCATGTGACCCGGCGGAACTTCCGCAGGCGCTCTGCGGAAGTTTCGGTCATTTGTTTGAGAGTGGTTTGGTAGATAAGAGTTCATTCTTCTTCAAATCCGATAAATTAATAGTTGTGAAGTTTTAGCCGCGAAAAATAGCCTGCGAAGTTGACCGGTGTCGAAAACATATGTGTGCAAAGTTGCGCTGATCGGTCCGTACACACTTACGAACGATTTAACGCTCAGCTTTTTATATGAGGTTCATGAAGGCACGTTGGCTAGCGCAAGTTGCTTACTTGTAAATTGCGAAAAAAAAAACAAATTAAACCAAAGAAACCATTCGCTGAAAGATCAATCTTTGTGGCTTGAAAGTAGTAAGTACCACTTTTTGTCTCAAAAATACGTAAAAGAGGTAGAAAACTAAATTTGAGAAGCGAGCAAATGTTCGCTGACAGGAGTCAAAATTCAATATCGGCCACGCGTGTGAGTCAGAGACGCTCACCATTACGCAACACGACCAAGTTTGATATAGCATGCGCAAGATCGCATGATTACCACAAAACATATACAGATCAACTTGTAGTTATAGCTTATTTATGAAATTAAAATCAAATTAGCTAAATATAATGAGAAAATATCAAGTTATCCGAAAAAGTTTTACGCTTAAAGTAAGTGTATAATACCACGTGAATTCTAGATATGCAGAAAGCCGAGTCTTAGCTAAAAGTAAAAAAACCGAATCTTAGCTAATCGAAGCTTAAAATACCTGGAAATCTATAGTTTCGCAATAAACTAATACAAAGTGTAGGGTAACTTGTCGTCAAGTTTATTTTCAAAGAACAAATCGTGACCTTTAATGCTGAATATTTTCAGACTGAGTGAAACTCCAAAGGTAAAATAGCCTAAGCCTAGATTATTGGATTTTTTGAGTAGTAGGGCCCGTAGTAATCTACCCCGCATGTTGGCATAAGACATGACGGCAAGTTTGCGAACCTCACGACAAGCTCAAGATCTGGCCGTGAGGTGTAACTTCTTGATAGTACAGGTTCACAAAGCAATTTAATCGAAGCAAAACCACTGCCCTTTGCTGGGGTAGAACTGGGAGACGGTCTTTTTGAACGGGCGGTCTCAAGCGCACCCTGATTTTGACTTGTCTGAACACGTCATGCACGCCGCAAACCTTTCCTCCCCTTGCTTTGCTTAGGGAGGCCGCCGCAGGGTGTGTCGCGCGCGGCGGTGGTCCTGTGTGGAAAGCATCACGGTCGTGCGAATCGTCCTACACCCAGTAGAACTTACCTCTTTCAAACGAGAGTCCACACTTTAATCCGTTAGACTATACGTGTACATTGCCATTTATTTAGAATGGCCTACAATTACAACAGTTACATCCTGCATTAACATGTTCATCATACGAACGTGTCTGTAATGTTTAGCTGTAAAGAAGTGATTGTTAATATTAAGATGATACAACAATATCAAAAGCCATGGAATTTTGCTCACCCCAATGCATAGCGCTATGAAATTTGTGATCAAAACTTCTTTAGATTGATGGAACTGTCAAGTTTACCATAATGAAATGTGCTTGAAATCAGTTATAAATACGGGGGCACTGCCACTGAACTTGGGATTACATCGTACTGTCTTAATTCCCCTAGCAGGGGAATTAAGGTATTACGAGGTAATCCCAAGTTCATGAATGTGATCCGATCAGATTGTTCGTCTAGAGTTCTTTTTTTACCAAAGAGATTGAGTCAATGCTAATCTTCATGATAAAAAAAAGTTGTCTTGCATCTCCAAGGCGAGTCATCGTGTAGATACATTGAACACATTGTACTACACTTCTTATCGTCGATCGCAATATACAGAAGCCTGCGAATCCTTGCAGTGCTCTACGTCAAATATCCAAATATCAAGTCCTTTCTTGATCTTTGATTTCCTTTTGTTCGCAAAGTAAGAGATATTGGCGCTTGAAGAAAATATCGCGTTTCGTCGTGTCAGTAGGTTTATTTTAACTAGGGCGGATACAAACAGGCGACACTTATCTTTGAGAATGGCTCAAAGTGAAAGTATGTAAGGTAAAGAACAGTTCTGAGACCCGGAAAAGACAGTTGGTTTCATTAAATGCCCGACGAGTTTATTAACGATGATCCTAGTAAAGGAAGCTGCAGATATGCAAGGGCTTTTGCTGGCAATTCTGTATGACACGTCGAACTAATCTCGCAGAAGATGCAAGTGCGCCTCTAGTAGCCACCCGAATACAAAGCTAAGACAGCTACAGAGTCTCTAATATCTTGTAAGAGATGGTGTTATTCGCAACTGAGGTTATGAGATGTGACGATAGCGGGACACTACTACAGCAAAGGTGGTTTGAAGGTAATGGATCTGCCTCCGGCTTCAAGAGTACTGAGTGTCAAAATGAGTGCCTCAGCTCCAGCGGATAAAGTCCTCGCGCTCGCTTCGTTTGGTCCTTGCGCCGCGTATTAGCGTATTCTCTGGGCATAATTCCTACATCGGAGCGACATGCCCAGAAGACATGGTAATACAGCGCAAAGCCGAGCAAGGTTACAATATTACTTCTACAGCCACCACGTCTTACAGTAATTTAGGCGTAAAATCAATTGTGTTGCGTACTTTGCACAACACAATTGATTTTAAGCCTAAATCGCCCAGAGTTGGCGTCGTGGTGGAAAAACTTGTTTCTTTTTGTTTTCTGATGTTTCTGTGCGGGGGGGGGGGGAATGTTGTTTTGGGTTTTATTCCGCTTTTCTAAGTTTTATGAGTTTTTCTTTTTTGGCTGATATCTTCAAGGTCTGCACATTTTGTATTCAACAGTTCTATCCTAATCTCTCCTTAACTTACTACAGTGCTCCACCATTAGCCACCGTTGGTTCCATCCCCGTCAAAAGGTCCCGTACAACAACGGCTTGCTGGCTTAGTTCGATGTCATAGCAGCATTCATCGTTTGGTTTATGCGGGTGATGCCTGTCAGAGTGTGTATGTAATCTTTCTGCTAGTCGAAAAAAATTGTACATAAGCAGTTCCGAATATTGTCAGAGGTCTATCACTCCGTCTTCATTTCTTTCCGACTATTACAACTCTGCTAGCGGCTCGAAGGCTACAAACGATTGGAACACTGCTTCGAGCCTAGGGCTGAGTGCAGTTTGTAGGATAGTGAGAATTAGTCTTGTTTCTATATAGAGTTTCTATATAATATGGTATGTTCCTGTGAAATCCCAAACTATCGCATCCTTACGCAACCTCATTTTTGCGCCAAACATCTTATGTCTTCTCACCAGCATCTGAGATATTTACGAAACTGAGATCTTTTCATAGCTATTCCATTTTTATATTAGAGCACCCTCTTTCTCCACAATTCCGCATCTCGTGCGTATTTTCGGAGGCAAAATGTTCGTTGCCTTTCAATGTCTTATATAAATGTCAGGATTGATATGTCAGCAGCACGAATCTATTAATGTCATGTGTTAGTCTTACTAAAATAGGCTTGTGCATTTCCTGTTCCATTAACAAAAGAGGTACAAAACAGTAAGTCTCAGAATTGTGAAGCTGTAGATTGCTAGCGCATCATTAAAAATCTCTTCTCCATCAAGTATCAATGCTAGCCCTTCCCTTTTAGTTTTGCTTTTCTTCCATTGATTCCAATTCAAAACTTCGAGGTTTTCGACGTTGTTCAGTATGAATCAGCCGGCTTGACATTGTTTTTTCTCCCTCGCCTTGCTGCAGTGTAAATCACTTGTAATGATTTATGCTTTGCTAGACACATGAAAAGGATTATTGGCAATACTGTAATCGAAACGGAAAAATATGTGCCAGTGCTGCGGTTCGGTGCAGATGAACGGAGAAAGCCGGGCGGGGGGGGGGGGGGCGGGGGGAGGGAGGTTCACCCGATCTGACCTCTTAGCTGCGTTCATACTTCACGAAGTTCGGGGACGATTCCAGCGCAGCGCGCAGTTCGAGCGCTGTGCCGGAACTTTTCCTGAACTTCGGGCTCAGTATGAACGCAGCCTTATGGAGAGCTGACTGCCGCTCGCTGTTACTTCAGTTTTTTCCACAAATCCACTCAAGAACACTTATATCAACATCAACATCCACTTATATCAACATCAATATCCACAACATCCACTTATACTCAACAGCGGACTATCAAAGTCTTCATTGCTTTGCTCATCGTAACTCGTAAATTGTAAAACTGTACCAACTGTAAAAACACTGTAACTGTAAAATTGTAAACTGTAATCGTAAATTAAACTGTTCGTATGTTTTGAACAGAAAATTATAATTCTGAACCGATCCGGATCAGTTTTTGCACACATGCATTCGAGACGGGGCCGGTGCCATACTACTTTTCATCATCGATCCATATCTATTTTATTGATTTTTCAAAAAGTTGGAGCTACGGGCGCATCCAAACCTGTAAATCCTTTCATAAAGATGCATGTGCATCCAGCAAAGCAGGCAGACTGATTCTCTGATGTGTCCGATTCAGAAGGCATAGTTTTGGAATCCGAGTAAATATGAAAGTCGTATATGTAAAAAGAAATAAACTCCAAAAATCAAAAAGTCCAAAAGAAATGAAACAAAGAAAAACAGGAGCTCACCGCTTCTCAGCTGCTTTAACCGGCTAGGAAACATTAACTGTTCCTCCGCTCTCCGTTCAGCAACGTGGCATCATCCAAACTTCTGCACAAATGCGTTGGGACAGCAACGTGAAGCGATGATGCGTTCAAGGGCCCGTAATCCACCCGCATGTTGGCATAAGACATGACGGCGAGCTCGCGAACCTCACGACAAGCTCGCGTTCTAGCCCTGAGGTTCGCGAGTTCATTCACAGGGCTAAGGGTTAACCGCAAAACCATTGCTTCCGCTGGGATGGAACTCCCATTTTACCAACGAGAGACAGCACGTTAACCTGTTGAACTACACGTGCACATTCATCCTCATTCTGGCGAGCGTAATCAAGCACACCAGTCACCTTGCATTAACATGTTCATTTGAGTACTTTCGCACTGGGCGAACGAGAGCTAATCTTATGAAGCATTGGTTGTTTACAGTTGATTAAAACTGTAAGCAGTTTTATCCCATGCCTCAAGGACCACACAACCTGCTCTTTTTAACTGTGCAAAGTTTGCCCTGATTGTGCGTGTCTATAAAAAGTTACGATTTTCGAGCATGCTTTAGAAAAGGGCAAATTTGATTTGTATTGGCATTTTTCAGAAAAATCGTAACTTTTCATAGAAACGCTCAGTCAGCGCAAACTTTGCACTGTTAGAAATAGCAGGTAACAGAACCTACAATACTGACTGCTCCGATTTTTTATGACCCTACACAGAAAATTTGAATTTTGACCAATTTTCTTCTATCGCTCCTATCTATGCAACAGATGACCATTAATAAGCAGCTAAGATATCTTTATAAAGATTAGTAAGCAGCTGAGATATCTTTATAAAGAGCAAAACTTACTCCTCAATACAGAAATAAAAGCAGTTAAATCGATCGGAGATTTCAGACGTTATGAGTTTTTGGAAATGGTGCGAAAGAACTTCCGGGCCAACCTAATACAATTTTAAAATACAAGCTTTTGTTAAATTGATCATTATATATGCATCAACCGCAATTCTGATGCTTGCTTCCTTGCTTCTGCCTCAAAATTTTTATTAAGTCAAAGGTAAAAGATGAAACAATGTTTTTGAAATGGCAAGTTCGCAAGATTTGTGACAAATACTTTTGCCAGCAATTGCAAACGGCATGCAAAATTTAGCTAAGGAACTACGAGTTAATCAGGCGCAAAGAAAATACGCTGTTGATACTGCAGCTATGGAGGCCTCATCGAAGGACAAGCACTCTGTGATGTATAATGACCCTGTTATGAAGTAGGAGGCTTTTGAAAACCACAAAAAAATTGCGAAACCACTGACAAATTTGAAGTAATAACCGCCCATGGACAGTAATTGCGCAAACTTGGTATTTGACAATTCTAAATCTGATTGCGGAAATCATAAGGTCCAGTGGCAGTTTCCCTAACTCACTTGTGGTCAAGGCTGAAGTCTCAACTAAAACCACATATACAATGCCAGTAGGGCGTTTGAGAGAAAATGGTAGAGATAGACATAATTTCCAAGGCTGTGGATATATTATGTGAGCTGAGATGGGTTTACGCTCGGATCTATCCCTTAAATACAGCCCAAGTATTCAAAATTTCTCTACCTCCTATCCCAGAAAAACCTGAAAACCGCTGAAGCTGCCTACTCTCGAAGATGTAGTTAATTCCAGAGAAGTTAACTACATTTTCGAGAGTAGAGCAGTTTATCTCGCAGAGGACGTTTGAGTTTACGTTAAGAACGAAGATTCTGTAGACTCTATATCAACAATCAAAAAATCAATGCTTTTTCGACCAACTCTTAAAATTTTGGAAAAAAAAACGAATTTAGCAGTTCCACTCATGGAAGCAGAGGCACCATGAATAATCTGCAAAGAAAATTTGCGCATTTATGAGAATGCAGTACCTCACATATCGATACAAAATTTTAACTGAGAAGCGTCTAGCGCGAAGATGAGACAAATGCGGTGCTTTTGTCAAACAGAGAGGGGGGGGGGGGAATCTACAGCAAAACTTTGCTGTTGTGGTGGCGATGTGGAAGATCTTGGGAGGTTGATGTATGTCATGGGCTACATTATTGATGGCGCTGCATAACTGAAAATAATCCATTTACCAGAAGATAATAAACAAGAGTAATCGAGATCTTTCGTGACCTCAAGGTGTGTCCTTTGCAAATATGTTTCCTTCTTTGCTTAGCCAAATTCTTGCTAGCAAAAGTGCAGACATCCGGTTTGTAATGTACCAAGTTAGATGTTGGCAGCCACGTGCACATCACCTGAAACAGTACCTGTGTAAGTCTTTACGCTTAAGTAAGTCCGTTGCAGCGTACAACTCCACATTTTTTGGAATTTTTGCTAGAATAGGTTTCGGTGAAAGCAGTGCTGATATGCATTCGATTATCAACCATGGTTGTATTGCAATAACAAAAATTTCCGTGCCCAACTCCACCCTAGAAGAAGTGTGGTTGCACACTTTGGCAGGTGCTCGACTGCGTGAATTGCAGTCGTTTTCAATTCGTGCTGATCTATTCTAACATATGCCTTCCAGCCTTAACATGACGTGGATTGGTGCGGCGCCGCCTCGCTTCGGGCCTGCGCAACGTAACGGCTGCTCGTTTAGCGTGGCTGGCGAGAAAAGCAACGTGGCGCAAGCCCGAAGCGATGCGGCGCCTCACCAATCCACATCATTTTGAGGCTGGAAGGCATGCGGTAAGACCAATACGTATTGAAAACGACTGTACATGCATACTGGCGTTGGAACGAAGCCAAACGAGCGCAAGCACAGATGATCGCAAGCAGAAAAAAATAACAGTATAAAAAATAAAATAAATAATAATTAAATAAAATAAATAATAAAATAACAGCATAAAAAATAACAGTCTTATAGGTTTCCTCTCATATAGTGTTCCTGCAGACGGGGAGACTACGGGGACACTATACAAGTAGGAAATCTACTCAACTGTACACTGCAAGCAACAGTGAAACCAAAGGAAACGCCACAGAGACTCACCAGCAAGCGACAAAATCCCGCAACGTATACAGACGAGATAACCAAGTAGCTAGAGCACGAGAGATAAATCTGAAAGAAAAGAAAATAAAACTCAAAGTCTACCTCACAGAAAACAGAGAACTCATCGTCGAGTAGTCGACCGCAGAGGGATTGGCCGTAGATTGCGGAGCGAGCGAGCGCTCCAGACCGGCCCGTGCGATCGACTACTCAGCGATACATATACATAGTCTATTCGTTAAGCGCACGGACTGCTCCAACGCTGCGGACCACGCGCAGCGTTTATGAATTAATGCGAGAGCACGATTTGTACAGTGGCGAACTTGTATTGAGGCATGCGTTTTACCTCGCGGCACGTGCTCCGCACTGATGTCCAGTCCGTGCGGTCAACGAATCGACGATATATATTAATGAAGCAACCGACAGAATGGCACAAAATAGTGCAGCTGAACAAGAAGGTTCTATCGCCCCATATAGCGTATAATCAAACAAAAGTAATTGGTTAATCACCGAATATGAGGATATATTCTTAACGACATCATATCAAAAGATGATAAGTTCAACAGAACTCATTCGGAGAAATCACAACGAGACGAGTTAGTCAAAAGCAAAAAGAAATAACTGCAGGAAAGTAAGTCGGAGAATCTTTACCTGATGATAAGTTGAAGTCGTATTTTTGAGGACGTCTGAACACTTCTCGTCCAAAACAAATGATACACTTGGGCTTGACGATCATTCCTTTCTTAGCCAACGATAACCTAAACGAAGCTTATCCGGCTTACTAACAAGGAGAGTATGGGAGCAGCTAACCGTACTAACCGTACGGAAAACGGTTCCTTACAAGTGGAAAGTTGAAGTAACTCCTAAGACCCTGGCCAGACTTCGCTCAAAAGCGCTCAAAAGCGCCCAAAAGCGCCCAAATTTCTCTGATGTCTCTTCACTTTCTCGTGCGAGGAGAGAGAGAGATAGTAAGGAGAGGTTAGAGAAGTTTGGGCGCTCCTGGACGCTTTTGAGCGCTTCTGGGAGCTTTCGGGCGCTTTTGAGCGACGTCTGACCAGGGCTTAAGTGTTTTTCGTAGCTTTATGATGGATTTGTAGGAATTGCAGACTATAGTGACTCTGTGTGTCTACAATAATCCCAAAACACTTCATCAAAAGTAGGATATCAATCTGATTTCGGACTAGTGCAATCTTACCTCGCCCGACATACTGATCCAAGAATATGACTGAACGTTCTGAGAAAAGCACCACGTTGAAAGCAACCCAGAACGTAACACTGGTCATATCCTACAAAAGATTAGTAGTATGGACATCTTGAAGATTAGTTGCACACCAGAACGTATCACAATTGTTCGTACTTTACATGCAACAAAAAGATTCGAGTAGAAAAAGGTTACGGAAATACGCGGTTGTCGACTTCGACGCGACGAACGCGACCAACGCCATTGTCGCGTTATGTCATTGTCTAGCATCGGGATTTGTTCGCCAAGCACAAATCGATACCATTTTGCAAAAAGTTCTTGAGATAAGGAAATTGACCGGCTTATGGGAGGGGTAAAACTCAGTTCACACCTGAACTTCTGGAATAGCTTGGCTTCTGTAAATTCAATCACGTCGCTCAGGTTCAAAGTGTTCAAAGAAACAGGAATATCCAACTATCGATGCATATACTATGTATATACTATAGCCATATAGCTGTTCCTAAAAGCATACATACTGAAAATCAGTACATGTTAAGGTAATCAATGCCAATGAAAGACGCAAAACAATCCCAGCAAAGCTTATGATCGCTTTTTTCATTTAGCAGGGGGCGCTTTGGGCGCTTTTGGCCGCTTTTTGGCGCTTTTGAGAGCTTTTGGGCGCCTTTGAGCGAAATCTGGCCAGGGCCTAAAACCTTATACTTGTTCGATAAAATAGCATTTAGTTAGGGTTTAGGGAAGGAAGAACAACAGCAACGAAACGCTGAATCTGACAAAAGCAAAAAGATAAAATGAAAAAGAATCATAAAAGAACCAAAAAAGATAACTAAACAAACCTCCATAGAGAAGATGGTCAGATAATGGAGATCTCAACGACGCAAAAAGAGCTGCGAATGCTCCAACAGAGAACCATAATGATCTGAACTTTCGGCTGGTTGAAAGCAGCTCCCTGGCAGGTACATATGCATCGTCAGCATAACGGGAAGTGTAGAAACAAAGCTGAACGAGGAAAACAATAGAAAAATCGAATCTGGTCAAGCATGCGATAGCTGTGCTATCGGAATTCTCAAAAATAAGATCAAGGAAAAGCTTATTCAGGCAATGAGAAATACTTACCGACAACCGTGTGGCTGTGCAATTAAGAATTGTAACAAACATAAAATAGACATGCAGCGACAGTGAATTTTAAAATCAGCAAAGGCTCAGATGAACTTAAAAGTCGTTGTATCTTACAACAAACTAGAAAAACTCATCATGCCAGCGATTTTTGAACATTTGTGACTGTTTTGGGTGACAAGTATGCCTCAGTAGCAAAAAAGAAATAGAAAATAAAAAAATCGATCAAAACCGCCAAATAACGAGATGAATGTCATGAACCTGCCGGCATCTCGACATGGTCCGACACCACGACGAGATGCCGGCAGGTTGCACTCCTCAATATGCACGCTATTTTCCTTTCTTTGCTGACATGAGGGCGAGATGCCGGCAGGTTGAGGGCGAGATCTCGGCAGAAGTCTCGGCAAAATACCTCACAAAGTTGCCGGTAGGTCAATCTTTTGGGTCCAAAATTTGAAGTTGTCGGGATTTTTCGGATTTTTTTCGATCTCCATTTGGTGCCCACCTCTAAGCTGGACCGTCAGACCTGGAGAGTGCCAGACTTATTGCTTTGAGAAACCTAGAGAGGGCGTTGCCAGTTTTCATGACTTGAGGGCGAGATCGCGGCGAGTTGAGGGCAAGACCTGCCGGCAAGTAGGGTAGATTACTACGGGCCAAGTAAACCCACCTAAAACCATATAGCATAAATTGTCCACCCATCTGTTCTCAATCAACAGAACAATACAGATCTTGCATGCATGAATACTGACCAGAGGTGCGATAGTCGGAGCCGAGTCTCCGCCTACCTTCACTTTTGAGCTGGTACGGGGTGACCACCTTCACTTTAGGGTTTGAAAAAATTTTTTGCTGAAGCTTAAAAGAAGGAAAATAAGCAAAAGGAAGGCAAAAGAAAGTATTGAAAACATATATCTATGTAGTAAGTCGATCCAGGGAATAACCGCCGAGAACCAGGATTTTGAATAACAAAATAGCGATAAATTATGCGAAATTTCCATTTTCGTAAATCTTGCGGTTGAAGATGTCAGCAATTGCGACTTTATAGGTTTTAAAGGGCAAGTGTTGCTCTACCAGATAGTGAAAGAATTACGTCGATCTGAGCAGTGGCCACCGAGAACGAGAATTTTGATAAAAAACAAGCGATTTTAGGTTACTTAGTGACAGCTGACGTTTAGACTCCTATAAATCTGGAATGTGAAGGAGTGCAATGTTGCGACTTCGTAGATTTTGTAGAGTAAGGATTGCTGTATCGGACCATGTCTTAGCCGTAACGATCCATAAGATACTGCCGAGATTCAGGCTCTTAAAAAAACAACTAAAAAATCGCTTTTTGAACTACAACCGCTCATAACTTCTTCAGAATTGCATGAATCATGTTGCGACTTCATGCGTTGGATTCTCCTTATAAAGAGCTTTCAGATGATGTATAACACAGTGCTGGACATAATTATAGGGACACTCTAGAAATCGTCGTAATTTTCGTTCTTGTCAGTGAATCTGTCGGAAACTTTGCTGTATGGTGCGCATGTAAGCCTACCATAAATCCTCAGAACGGCTTTCAATCCCGTTGATTTCGAACGGAGAAAAATGGAAAAAATCGAAAAAGCCTGTTTTGCAAGCCTACATAATTATAAGGACACCTGGCCTTTTTAAACATTATCGCATTTCTTGACTCCCAAATTTTTTTGTTGAGTTACATCCCAAATTTGAAACTTTTGCAGCACCTAGGACCTGTCATCTACTCAAGGGAACATGATCCTTGCATTTTTCGTTTCCAAAGGCATCAGAAGTTAAACTGCGTCAACAAACAGCTGTTTGAGGAGTTTTTGAGCCCGCGTTCATTTTAAATGACAGTCCTGGAATACACTTAGCCTTTTTGATAGATAAGGTGAAGAGCGCTTTCGTAAACTCCGCGTAATCGCTGATATTGACAATCAGACTCCAACCTCACAATAGGGTTGTCGCGCTTTTGCACCACAAAACTCACTTTTCAATGTTCGTGAAGTGATGGACTCGATTTATTACATTGTCTACATGGAGATGCGTCTTTTGCAACAACTTTCAGATTTTTCCTAGTGCTGCAGTTGCCACTTAAATCTGATATACTTTCAACGAAAATTCTATGCGAGCAGTAGATTCAACATAATCACAAATCTCACTACTTTATTCTCTGTTTCATGTCGCATTTTGCGCGGTAGCTGAGATTAGCAAGATTTTGAAGTTTCAAGCGGTCTCCTGTTCGATTTCTTGATTTGAGTTGGATATGATTGTGCAGGGTGCTCGACTAAACTCTCAACGAATGACAACTGCGGCTGAACCAGAATGTGCAACCCCGAATTTTTTTCCTGACTAGGCACACAAGTTTATTGCTGTACGTGTATTGTTGCGGCTACATTGCAGTGTTTTCTGTAACTTGAAAATCGAGTTTTGTGGTGCAAAAGCGCGACAACCCTATGGTGAGGTTGGAGTCTGTTAGTTTGTCAATATCAGCGATTACGCGGAGTTTACGAAAGCGCTCTTCACCTTATTTATCAAAAAGGCTAAGTGTATTCCAGGACTGCCATTTGAAATGAACGCGGGCTTGAAGACTCCTCAAACCAGCTGTTTGTTGATGCAGTTTGACTTCTGATGCCTTTGGAAACGAAAAATGCAAGGATCATCTTTTCTTGAGTAGCATGACAGGTTCTAGGTGCTGCAAAAGTTTCAAATTCTGGGATGTAACTCAACAAAAAAATTTGGGAGTCAAGAAATGCGATAATGTTTAAAAAGGCCAGGTGTCCTTATAATTATGTCCAGCTTGCAAAACAGGCTTTTTCGATTTTTTTCCATTTTTCTCCGTTCGAAATCAAGGGGATTCAAAGCCGTTCTGAGGATTTATGGTAGGCTTACATGTGCACCATACAGCAAAGTTTCCGACAGATTCACTGACAAGAACGAAAATTACGACGATTTCTAGAGTCCCTATAATTATGTCCAGCACTGTATGTATGGGGTTCAATGATTTTTGCGGCTCTAACCCGGGTGGAGACTTTTCACCCCAAAGTCTCCACCTCGCCCATTTAATGTATTGGCCGGAGACTTTGGGGTGAAAAGTCTCCACTCCCGGGCATATGCCGTGAGAGGCGCAAAGTCCTCAAATATTATAAGTCATCTGAAAGCTCTTTATAAGGAGAATCCAATGCATGAAGTCGCAACATGATTCATGCAATTCTGAAGAAGTTATGAGCGGTTGTAGTTCAAAAAGCGATTTTTTAGTTGTTTTTTTAAGAGCCTGAATCTCGGCAGTATCTTATGGATCGTTATGGCTAAGACATGGTCCGATACAGCAATCCTTACTCTACAAAACGTATGAAGTCGCAACATTGACTCCTTCACATTCCAGATTTATAGGAGTCTAAACGTCAGCTGTCACTAAGTAACCTAAAATCGCTTAATTTTTCAAAATTCTCGTTCTCGGCGACCGCTGCTCAGAGACGTAATTCTTTCATTATCTGGTAGAACAACACTTGCCCTTCAAAACTTATAAAGTCGCAATTGCTGACATCTTCAACCGCAAGATTTACGAAAATGGAAATTTCGTATAATTTATCGTTATTTTATTATTCAAAATTCTGGTTCTCGGCGGTTATTCCCTGGATCGAACTACTTTGTTCGCAGTACATTATGACAAAATTTACTTAATAAAATCCGTACAGCCGCGCTATCTTTTACTTCCATATACACCATTTACTAAACACATTTATTTTAAATATATATGCCGCCGTATACCTAAAAATATGCTTTCAATAATCTTTTTTGCGTTTGTTTTGCTTATGTTCCGCACACTGGCGGCAACGACTGGAAGTATAGGCCCAGTCGACGTTAACCCCCCCCCCGTTGACGTTTTTGGGAGGTGAGTGTCCGGCACTACCACCTTCACTTTTGGCCGGTCAGTGGTGGCCGAAACCACCTTCACTTTTGGGGGGCCCGGCTCCACCTATCGCACCTCTGATACTGACTCAAATTACGTAAAGGCAGCAGCCTACAGTTGATAAAAAGATAGAAGTCAAGCCACCCAATCCTATAATGTCAATCTCACCTTGCACGCTGTACCAGTGCGCTCCAGAAAAAAGTGTTTTTGAAGTCAACCAATTTGTGGGATGGCATAATTAAAACCCGTGTCTGAGATTCGAAGGTAGTCACCTGCTTTGCGGGATGCAAATGCAACTTTATGAAAGGATTTGCAGGTTTGAATGCGTGTAGATACTGCCCCGTTCAAATCCCAGACACGGGTGATAATTAAGGTACTCGCAGAGTCAACCACCAAAATACCTTCCATATCGATCGACGAGAAAAGTACACTGAATACTGAGCAGATCAACCAAACCATTAGTTCAACGCTACTCACCTTCCGCTCGATCGATGACTGCAACGGATAGCGAATGACAAGCGAACGCAGCAACCAAAACAGTAGCGTGATTTCATCGGCGACAGAGCAACATGAAACTGAAAGCAGCACAGAGTCAAAGCAATGTAACCTGTAAGAATCGGACTGTGCGACAGTAGTGCCGCTTGCATAGCAAACAATGACGGCTCACTATAGAAAGCTAAGTTACAGGCACAATCAAGTCATTAATACTGTTAGCATAGCACGACATCCTACCTTCGTCGTTGACCGATGATACAACAAAGTAAACACTACGAGAAGCAAGCACAGAAACGGCGACAGCATTTTCATCCGCTAATGGATCAACGGCAGAGGAATACAGACTTGACATTGTCCTACCAATACACGAGTCTCGCAACATCTAAAGCATCTCATAGTTTTGAAACACAAACAAAGGTTTCTTCCAGCATACCCTGCCATTTGCGAGAGCAAATGACTTATCGCTGAAGTACAGTAGCAGTAAAGCAGCATCAGAATAAAGAACACAGATTTTCTGTCAGTGGCTATAAAATCAGTAGCCAATTTCGTCGACAATCCATCAGTCGAAGTTGAAATCGCATACGCACGTAAAGCCCAAAACGCAGCCATATCTTGAAAAGCAAAAACTAAGCAAAAAAAGAAAATAAGAAAGAACGAAAGAAACGAATTCGCATGTGAGGCGCCGGCAGTGACGTATCGATTGGAGAACCTGGCAAAATGCCCGGGCGATGCGACGCAGTCGCGGTGCAGGTCCAAGCGAGGCTTCTGCGGCTAGAGGGCGGAGCCCTGCAGCCCCGCCCTAATCGTGCAAGCTGGTTGAATCAAAGGGTACTTTGGCTCACGTCGCCCCCGGTCATGCTTATATCCGCGGAGCGCGGTAAGTTCCTTGGACTTTGATTCTTTTTGCATCTCAGCTGATTCTTTTTGCATCTCAGCTCTAGTTTATAGAATCTTTCTTGCATCTCAACTATAGTACGTCTTCTCCTTTCTTCTAGTGATAGAATGTTTATTGTTTATTCAAAGACATCTCTTTTTTTTGGAAAAAATCTAGCTAAGACTGACATGGACACTGATATCTGCATTGTGGATGTTGTGAAGGAAGGAGTCATCGATGCAAGGTCATCTCAAAAGTAGATGTAAGAAGCATACAAATCACGATTATCCTTTGATTCAACGGGATTGGCGGCTGGAAGGCGGGGTTTTAAGGCCTGATCAAGGCTAAAGAATGATAAGAGAGCTCGCGAGAGAGATGTAGATTGCACGGGTGCAAGCGGTCGCCTTTCAGCCGCCAATCTTGCTGTATCAAAGTGTAGGTGACTCGAATAGTGAACTATCAGCTACACTAATGAAGTAACAAGAAGAGAGTAGCCGTAATCAAGTTTTGAATGTAACTTGAGGTGATAATGATGCGTTAAAGTGTTCACTTTTAAACTCACATGTTTTCTCTAGTTTAAAACTATTAGTTATTAACTATTAATTATTGATAGTTTCGAGGTTTCAGAACCTTTCAAAATACTGTAAATTCGCAGGTTCAAAAATTTGAAGTCACTTTCAAGTCATCCAATGAAACATTTGTGTTAGAGAGTACGCCCAGAGATGATTTTATCTCGAAGGACTCATGACTTCATAGATAAGAGGGGAGAATCCCTTTCTGCCGCGCAGTCTTATAAACTCCTTAATTGGCTGTCAGCCAATTTATGCAAATTTTCCACACTTATATTTAAATTTCTTTATGAAGCTATATAATCATCTCGTCTACCAGCTGCTAACCGAACATCTATATAACGCGGTTAACCTGTGTATAGGAGTGTTGTTAATTACAGTAACGGCACCTGACCTACTTTTTGATGTGTCGTTTCGCTTTGTTCAGCACAGCAGCTCGACACATACGATACTCTTTCTCTGCTGGAATGTTTTATTGCCCTTTTTGAGTCGCTGGTTTTCCTCGACATTGGCCTAATTTTGTCAGTATATGGATAACCAGTCTCCTATGGTTTTGTGTTTTACGACATTCAATTTTTTATCTAAGGCTAAAATAAACTAGTCATGAGTGGTCAAAATTTCTGATTTTTCTCGGTTCCGTTAGTTTTTGCATTTATGCTAAATTAGGTCGTCCCGAAAGTTTTGTCGGTTTTTTCGAACCACTATAAAAGCACAATAAACACCTGAATGGGTTTCAACGTGCATTCGATGCAGCTTTTTCTTCTCTTTCTCATGGATACATTCGCGATCCACAATCTTGTATGCTTTTTCGATATTTGTTAAAATTCTCCATCCGCCAATTTCATCTGCTCAAAGTTCGGCTAATTTTTAAAAATTCCATTCTAATGTTTCTAAAATGTTTAAGTATGACTCTAATAGAGCAATTCTCGAACTACAAGAATATATATTTAAATTCTTCGAATCTGCTGCTTTTAGCTTGAAAAAAAATTATTTCTTAAGAAGTCTCGATTTTTGGCAAAGTCATGAAACACGCAACTGCAGCAAATACACAGAAGTTTCCGAGGTTTCTGCGAATTGAAAAATGATTCTTATTAAACATTATTTATGCAACATGACCAAGTTTGATTTGCCTTGAGAAAGCAGCTTTTTGGAATTTCCGGTACTTTTACATGGTAAACGTAATCAAAAAGTCGCCGTTTTTATTAAATAAGTAATTATAACGGACTTGGTAAACGTGGCCCATGTAACTTAAAATGAACAAAATGTAGCCAAAAATTTGCTCTACATAACAGTTACCAGCGCTTCTTGAAAACATCGGGATAAAATAATTTAAAATTTAGGAAAGATTTGGCGTTACTGCTGAGGTGCTCAAAAAGCCATGGCGATAACATTGCAATGACAACGTAGATAAGAGAGAAAAGATAGCTATTTGAAAGAGGATAAATATCTGAATCAAAAGGCACTTAGCGTGCCCTTGAATTGGTGTTTTGTGAGTTTCTGTGATCGATGAAAGAAACCGACAAAACTTTCGGGACAACCTAATATAATAACCTGCCATTGATTAATGTGTAAAAAATGTGACTAATTCTAACGGTTTTGAACAACAAAGCCGTAGTGGCAGTCCGAGAAGGTTCTGTTTTCGGGGGGAGAAAGGTGGTGAACATAAATTCTTTTGAGATTTAAGGCGTGTAAGCGTCAATAAACATGAACTGCTACTTACATTTTACATTGCTTAACCTTTTAGCCTTCATTGTTATACGTTTTACTCTTCAGCGTATTTATTCTTCAATATTTTTTATGCTATTTTATCCAAAAAAACTTTATGACTGAAAGTCGTAGAGTAAATATATTCATACAACTTCAAATAAATTGCAACTCCTTAATTCCACACCCCCCCCCCCCCCTCCTTCCTCTCCCATTCAAGAACAAGTCTTCCGTATATGTACTTATAGGCTGCTGCATGACGAAGGCGCAATATCTTTAGGCGCGAACGCGGCTTTACTAGCCGCAGAGCGCATGAAGCGCAGCATTTACAACGGTAAGGATACGCGCGCGTCGCGTTCGCGCCTGCTCAACCAATATCGCTTCTGCGCCTTCGTCATGCAGTAGCCTTTACATATGTGCGCGTTCTCGCTTTTATTCAAGAAACCCCTTTCCCCCTCCACTTTCTGTCACTCAAGTTTTTACATCCTACACCATGAACACTCTCTATAAAAATGCAAATGTAAAAGCTCTCAAGTCGTTTTTTGCTCACACATTTCTCTTGGAAAGCTCTTGAAGCCATGCATGAAGCTTGGAAAGTTTTTGTCAAAGAGTTTAAAAAGCGTATCTTACAGAAAATCTTGTACCGCTGCAACCTAAAGGGTGAAAAAAAAACATGAGTTTGCAAAAAGATGACTTCGCAAATGCTCTGCTTTAGCTCCCCTTCCCTTTCAGCACTTATGTTTCTATCTCTAAATAATTGAACAACTTTACCAACAGTTTGATCCCACGTGCCACCATTTCTGGTGATGTCCAGTAATCCGAAAACTTACTTAGTATAGGGGAGGAAGGGGGGGGGGGGGGATTTTTCCGCGCTTACTTGGAAATTCTCAAAGACATCTAAACACTGTAATGATTTTTCCAATGTGGGCATCAGAATACAAATATACTGTGCACTATACTCGAATATACTGTGAGGAAATTCAGTGCTCCACACAAAATTCCAATTTTGAAAAATTTCAAGTCATAAGGCATGCAGAATTTCCAAAGCTCTCATACATTTGGTCCTTTAGACGTGAAAGCTGTTTCTCTTGAATCCACAGTGTGAGTTTGAGCAGTGGATACTATTATAGAATGATGAAGTCACAAAATTCATTCTTCTGTTCGAGAATCATTCAAGAGTTGTTTCCCTATCAAATCATATGCGTTTCCTCATGATCTTGATTAGTTGAAGTATTACTAACACTACAAAGCAATAAAGTTGGTTAGTGAAGTACCACGAAGTGAAGAGACTAATATCCGTTTTGATCAGCATTATAGGAAGTGCATAAGTCAACGCCTCTTTATTCCGCTATTCACAAATCTTATTGAAAATTTTGGACGGATTTTAAATTGTTTGGTTGTTGCAAAAGCTCCTGCTAAGTCAGAATTAATCGGGTAACTTCCTTTTCAAGCCTAATTTAATGCTCTGTATTCGAAAATAAAAAGAAATTTGCGATTGGATAGTCAGCGCAACTCGCAACTCGCACTTTGCCACCAAACGCAAATCACGAATTTTAAAATGCTCCTTTAGAAGACAATTTTGCGAGATTAGTTAAAAACTAGCTTCTCATAAGGAAAGCTACCTAACTTAGCTGGCCTTTTGGTAAAAGGTATGTATATTCTGAATCAGCTTCAAACGCTGATTCCAAATATGACATCCCTAGCGCCACGCACCATTCCGAAGCGAGTTATGGGGTTTTCCCTACGCAACAGTGGCATACTACTGAACATGAGAAGACTGCCTGTAGATAAAAATCTGCAAGGAAAAAGTGCTGAGATATCGAAATAGTACAAATCCAATCTTTTCTCATTAAAAAAAGCTTAACACAGGTGTACCAGCACTCAAATGATGATGACGTGAAGCCCATGAGTCGATGAGCATGCCAAATTTGCGCAGGAAAAAGCACATAACTCGCTTCGGAATGGTGCGCGTGGCAGCTAGGAATAGCATATTTGGAATCAGCATTTGGAGCTGATTCAGAATATATATGTCACTTGCCAAAAGGCAGAGCTAAGTTAGGTAGCTTCCCTTGTCAGTAACTATCTTGATGTGCAAGCCTGCAGTGCAGATTTGCATATCTTATATATAAAGCTGAATGTCTGTTTGTCTGTATGAATGTCTGTCTGTCTGTCTGTCTGTACGTATGTTCCGAATAGAAAATTCCATTTCTTAACCGATCCGGACCAAACTTGGCACACATACACTTCGGGCCCCGGCGGGTGTCACAGTCCACTTTTCGTTATCGATCGATCCCAGCCCCGTAGGTGAATTCAGCAAAAAATCGATAAAAATCGATAAAATCGACATCGATCGATAGGGAAAAGTAGCCTATGGCACCCGCCAGGGCCCGATGTGTATGTGTGCCAAGTTTGGTCCGGATCGGTTAAGAAATGGAATTTTCTATTCGGAACATACGGCGGAGCCGGGTAAGCCAGCTAGTAATCTATAAACTATGGTTGAGATGCAAAAAAGAATCTATAAAACCGCTTCACTATTGGTTAGTTCACTGAATTGACCAATGATAAAGCGGATCAAGCGGATCAAGCATGGCGCGTGCCTGAGATGCAAAAAGAATACAAGTCCGGGAACTTGCCGCGCTAGCGGACATAAGCATGGCCGAGGGCGACGTGAGCCAAAGTAAATGGCTGAATAGGACGAATAGGATGCGGAGAAGGATTTTCTGAAATGTACTTATGGCTTATCACGCTCATCTTGGTGAGCCGGCTGCGCACTTTCTTTCACTTGAAGACAGAACTTGCAATTTTGCTAAATGAAGGGACACTTCTAGAGAAAGCTCCAGTTAGTTTCAAATTGTGGCTGCATTGACCCAATGGAAGTACTACGTGACCCAATGGTAGTACTCTTGCAGCAAAGAAGAGGATTTTGTTTCAAAATGGCAGAAACTGGAGAAAGTCCTGGTCGTGTATGCACATATTGAATGCAAAGGCAAGAGGAAGGTATAGGCAAAGAGACCAGTGCGGCGCAAGTGAGAATCTAAGTCTCTGTGTAAGAAGTTTGAAATTGATTTTAAATTATTCTCCTTTCCTATGCAAAGGGTTGAGAGCGAGCTGTTCTGCGCTCGTAAGAGCTAGCCGCTGGCAGGGCTATCGTTGCAACGCCACCTATTCTTCGCTTTACCTTTGCCAAATGTTCTGACATTTGCGGGGCTCAGAAATTATCACCATTCAGATCTACGGAAACTCGGGGCCACTCAATAATTCGCGCTTGCGTTATGCCGAAAAGCGTCGCGGTGGTATGAAATGGTGTCACTAAGGGAGTGTTCCGCGGTGGAATTGTGGTCGTTAATTTTCGCGATGGTTTTGATGCAGTAAAATTGCTCTAAGGAACAAAGGAGTTTAACAGATACGGGAAGTATCGATTCGGACCAACGTTCTATGCTGCATTTGTTAGTATCTTCGATAGACTTGTAGATTCGCTTGGCTTTTGTCCGATCTCTTGCAACTAAATGAAAAGAATTTGATTTGCCGCGTACCCGCCATATTTGTACAAATTAGTCGGGTGGCTGCTGTGCTGTACTGTTGAGCAGAACTGCGTGTGCCAGGGGCTTTGTCCTTTCTATTAGAGTGACTAAAAACACCCAAACATCTTGTCTTTGTTTCGGTGCATACGATGACGGGAAGTGCTGGCTCCACTTAACTTCGCATTCGTTGAGTAACACGATTAGTTGCAAAGCAGCGATTGGATTCTAAAAAGCACTAATTTGCTTGTTTTTGCAGCGAAAGTGAACATTTTCATTATGATATCCATTAAGATTCTGAAAACAAGACACAAAGATGAACTTCAAGTGAGTGTCATTGCTATCTACTGTATAAAATGGGTGGTCACGCCAATCGTAGGCTGACGACGTCACAACTTCATTGTTAAACCATTATTTTTCAGTCGTATTAACCTCACTTTTGTTGCTTCCGCTGCTTGTAAGCTGTCTCAGATGTTATACTGGAGTGGAAGGTGCAGGAAACGTGACCGACGTAATAGTAGACAACGTAAGCGAGTTTTGAAAAGGCAAAATGCACAAGATCAGCAGTCAAATCAACGACAGGAAGTTTGAACACTATTGTCTAGTGCCTTACTAGTCTCCGAAAAAGCAGATTCTAGCTTTGGAATATCTGAAAAAACTCCCAAATTTTCTCGATACGCTCGCGGAGTTTAATGGAGATTCGTATCGTAACTTCTGGCTGACATCGACGTTTCAGCGATCACATCTTTCTCGGATCCTCTAAAGACGTACAGGCGATTCATAGCACGCAAAGACCGCGGGCTTATCTGCGTCACTCTGACCGAGAGCTCTTTCGCTTTTCTTATCATCTGGTGTGTCTCCTATGCATGAACTACTTTGGCCGGACGCAACGACGCTCAGTCGTTGCGTGATATAAATCGTGTATGGACGGAGAAACTGCTGTTGCTTATTGTTGTCCACAATTAATGCAGGTCTCGCAAAGCTCTAATCTGATTGAAGAAATGAAAACTACCAGCATGTCTCAACCTACATCGCGCTTATAGCTGCATAAAGTTCAAATTTCTATCAAGTTGTTAGTGAGGCGTAGAAATTGTTTCCAATTGCTCATTAACGGCTCACTGTTAAACAGCGAAAATCTATTGCATCTGCTTACATCAATTGTAATAAAAAAATCAATTCAATTTCACTCAGTTGAGCCTTTGTTCTACTTCAGCGGCAGACAGAATGAGGTTTGAGTGCGTATGGTAGATTCGCTGAAAGTGCTCAGCACGTGTTGCATAGGGTGTTTTGAAAAAGAGTATCGTAAGACCTGGCACAATTATTCCTAAATCGCCTAGCATTCTGTTTTAGTTCTTTGCACAATAGTATGAGAAATATCACTATGTACAACATCAAAAAAAAAACATTGCTCTGCTCAACAATCATCCTACTATAATAACGCGCTAAGAGTGTTTACGTGTTTTTTGTCTGTATCTTTACGAATGTCTTTCTGTCACGGAATTCGTAGAACGTGTTCAGCCAACATCCTGAGCTCAAGTTTTGCCTAGCACTTGCTACTGGCATGGAAGTTAACATGCAAAAGCACAAGCAGATTCGTTGAGTGGGTCTCTTAGAAATTGCGTTTGAAACGGATCCACTTTGCATTTGGCCCACAAAATTGAAGCCTAATTCCACTTTTTGCAGAGTGTTGGATGTTTATGACAAGTAAATGCGCAAGCCATGAACTAAGGCCCAAAAAGAGATCAAAAGTCCATTACTTACAAAAACGGCGCTAAAAAGTATTGGTTGCGTAAATGGTCAGTTTGCCAAGGTTTTATCAGAACATTTGACGAGATTTTCGCACGGAAGTGCAGCTCACTGTGACTACTGTTTTTATGGCAACTATCAGGATCATGAGAAAGTCAAAAACCTATAAAAATTTGCGTTTGTTTTCCTGCCAAAAGTTCATCCACACGGTTTGACCGATTTTAACATGAAAAAGCTTTCGGATTGAATAATTGTTTACATTTTGTTCGTGGTACTCGGCATTCTTGGCAAGTTACAGTGCGATCACTATGCGAGAATGAGTAGGGCCTAAATAGTAGAGCCAGTGCGAGCCTCTGCAAAGCAGAGGTGAAGCAATGGTGACTTATAATAAAGGGGTAGGCAGGCGCTATACTCCTCGAGGAGTATAGCGCCATGGCGACGGGCGATCGCCAAACAAGTTACCACACGTCAAATCGATACGTATCAAACTTGTAGTCGCCGATGTTGGCGATCGCCAGTCGTTACGATGGGCGATCGCCGGTCGTTACGATGCGAATCTCCGCGAAGCGGAGGTGACGCACTGGTGTAACAATACTAGACGTCTATATTAATGACCGCCCTCTTTCCGCGCCTCTGTCTACAACAACGAATCGTACAAAGAAAAAAGAGATAATCAAAAGTCTTACTCACCCTTATCATTTCCAATCTTTTGCTCAATCGTAAACTGAAGCGCGATATCCATCGAAGCAAACTTCAGAACTATTCATGGCTCAAAAAATAGGGAGAAACAATGGTCTGAAAAGATGATTTAGAATAGCCGTTAGATTTGAATTAGATGATTTATGAGTGAAGGAATGACAACGCAATGAGGACGTTCGGTTTTTTCACTATGTGATAGATTTTTGAGAGTCTGGGCTGGAAAGCAAAACTGTTGCAAAACCTTCGATATGTATGCTCAGAATTACACGGTTGGTTTGGAATTGCCTTGAAACCAGCAAGTCCGAGAAAGATTACGACACGTATGTTCCCGGAACATTTTACGCTATAGAGTTGGAAGTAATACTGTGCGGTATAATCCAACTTTGTGCCATATACTCATGCCCTGTAAACAAGCCACTTGTTTATTAGCATCATTTTGAATTTCGTGCGTCTGTGAGTAAGAACACTTTGGACCACGTCGGTCATTTACCAACTTGATGGTGAAGCAAGTGAGCGTGTTTGAGGGTTTGATCTGTGTATGTTCAACATGTTTTATCCTTTCCGCTGTTTATATTAATAACAGAATCTAGTTTGAATTCACAAGGGAAGGATGATCGGTTAAAGTGTCCTTTTGGAGTGAGCTTTATACTCGGAAACCTTCTTAGGTCTTGGATTCTTGGTAAGGCAATCTCAAAACTACTTTCGCTAGTTGCCGGACGGTTTTGTAGGGGGGGGGGAGTCATGAGGACATTTTCTCCGGCGCAGCCGGAGCGCCTACTACCGAGGGAGGCGCTAAAATGAGGCAACAGGTGTAGCAATGGCGCGGTGGCAAGGCATCGGATTGTGACGCAAATGGTTGAGGGTTCGGGTCCTGTTGCTGGTATGTTGTATTGCAGTTTTGTGAAAAGTCTATTGGGTAACAGTAAAAGAAAAAAGCTCATTGCTACTCAGTCGAAACAAGTTATTCACTGCAAAAAGTCACTATTTCTACAACAGCTATAATCTTCTAAAATATGTAATGTGGGGGTTATGATGTTACAATATTAAATTTCAATGATATATCAACAAGTATGGAACACAACAACACAAAATTCAAAGCAGAAGTACTTCCGCACATCGGATAAAACATCAGGTTGTCCCATAAGTTCCTCCGTTTGAGTTTCAATCGCAGTAAGTCATGAACTTCTTGATTCTAGATAGATTTCGACGTATCATAGAGCAAAGCAAGACGACGTTCATACTTTTGCACTAGCTCAAAACCATCTCGGGTTTGAAGCCAAAAACCAAAAGGATCCAACCGACCAAAAAATAAAGAAAATATCGTAACTCCCCTCAAAAAGTTCTAAAAAATATCTGACTTGCTTACAGATCGCTATCCACATCAGACATTTATATGTATTGTTGCTGTATTTTTTCCTTGGATAGAATTCAAGAAAACGAAAATTTTCATGATTTGCCAAAGTGGCGCTGTGCCCTCCGCACATAGGTAGACCCTACGGAGTACAGACATGAATTTTCAGTGCTCTGCAGGCCTTAGTTTTTGAGAAACATTGGATTTGGCTTCATTTAGTCGAGTGTGCCATACTAAAACGAAGATTTTTCAAGAACTAAGGCTTCTTGAGGGCTGAAAATGCATGGCTGTATTTGTACTGCTTTTAGTACACAACCATCAATGTGGGAACAACACAGCGATTTCGTTTTCTTGATTTCTATCCAAGGAAAAAATACAGCAGTAGTATATATAAATGACTGATGTGGATACCGTATCTGTGAGCAAGTAAGGAATTTTATAGGACTTTTTTTGGAAGAAGTTACGATTTTTCCTTTATTTTTCGGTCTGATGGATCTTTTTGGTTTTTGGCTTCAACCTCGAGATGGTTTTGAGCTGGTGCAAAAGTATGAACGTCATCTTGTAGAGCTTGCTTTGCTCTATCAAAATTACCTCGAAATCTATCTGGAATCCAGAAATTCATGACTTACTGCGATTGAAGGTCAAAATGGACGGAACTTATGGGACAATCTAATATAAACGATATTAAAAGATTATAACTGACTGTAGATATAGTGAATTTTCGCAGTAAATAGCGCCTTTCGACTGCGTAGCAGTAAGTACTTCTCGTTTACTGTCACCCAATGGACTTATTACAGAAGTGCAAAACAAACCACCAACAACAGAATTTAAGCCTTCGAACATCTGTTTCACAATCCGATGCCTTGCCACTGCCACAGTTACTGCAGGTTTTAGCAGCATCGCCCATTAGTAGGTGCGCCGGCTGCGCCGGAGAAAAAGGCCTCATAGCTCCCCTCCACAAAATCGTTCGGAAATTAGCGAAAGTTTTGAGATTGCCTTACCAAGAAGGTTTCCAAGTATGAAACTCATTTCAAAACCACTTTGACCAATCATCCTTCCCTTCTCAGCACATCTGTGACAGGCGCGGTTTGCTGAGGCTCTTGCTTTAGTTGTCGCTATCAAATACACATCTTACACGTTAAATCAAAGTAATGCACAGAGATTTTTGGCTATCTTTGTAAAAGCATCACTCGCAAGTGTTAGCCTGCATTCTCAGTTTTAAGTTTGCAGACGAATTTCGTACTTTTTTTACCATATTAACATGACCTTTATCTATACATACCTAAAACTGAGTTGGCAAATTGTTAGTTAATGTGTGATGTTTACAAACTCTTGTGTATGGACCAATCGGCGCAAAATTTTACAAGCACATGTTCTTCACAACGGTCCCCCGCGTACACTAATTTTTGCACCAAAATTCCTACTTATTCTAAAGAGTTATCGACTTTGAAAAAAATGAATTTTCTAACAATCAAACCACTTCCAACTTCTATGTAAACGTGGTAGAACCAATTTACATTTCACAAATGCCGGATGCGGTAACTCAAGGCTATGGGCGCTAAACAGAAGAAGCCGGGTCGCAGATAAATTTAGCCTTCAAACTTTTTTGAGTTATTTAAACCCGGGCGAATGCGAACGAAGCCGGGGAGGTCAGCTAGTGACTAGTAACGGACTTAAGAGTTGCACACACACACACACACACACACACACACACACACACACACACACACACACACACACACACACACACACACACACACACACACACACACACACACACACACACACACACACACACACACACACACACACCATACACACACACACACACACACAAATTTTGCAATATATTTGCACAACATACGCTATCGACATGTAGTCCACCATGCGTAGATACTACAAAAATTGCTTGTCAAACGGAGCCAAAGACTTTGACTTCGCGGTCCATGGGCAATTTACTTTCGAAGCAACTACTTTGCTATAAAAATTCTCAAACCAAGTTTAGGCCAAAAGGCAAATAAAAATTTACTTTTCTGTGTAAATCACCAGTATTTCAAACATCAACCCAAGCAGCAAGAAAGTTTTGGCAAAGAAATGTACCTCACGCTGACTATCAAACTGTAACAAGTCGTAAAAAGTTTAGAAACTGATTCAAAATTGCATTTTTTACTGCAGAAGGGTCACATTTTCCAAAGTTACCAGTCTTACGTGGAAGCTTTTGGAATGAGTAGTTGTTTACATTTTATTCGCGACGACTAGCAATGCGTATCCAATCGTTATTGGTAAACGCTTGATGCGCTCTTACGACGCTTCACAGCGAGCTCTTCAAATAAGCGGACAGTAAAATAAAATCTGTAAAGGAATTTAAGTACGTATTCCACCTTCTAGAGCTTGTTTCGCGTAAACAGCTCAACCTAATAGTCATCAGCACCGGAAAGAAATAAATTTCAAGCGATTTTTACAAAAAACCCTTATGTGGTTTTTGGATGAAGTTTTGACTGTCAGAGTGGTTTAAAACTGAATACAATACAAATGTAAGTGAGTTCATGAGGACATTCACATCCAAAAGTTTGAGAAATAGCACATTCTTATTCTTTTTAAACACGTTGAGAAAAACAAGGACTTTGTGCAGCGGTTATTGCTGGTTTTGACAGCGACTACAGCGCTTCTAAAACCGATGCTTTCAATTTACCATTGGAGTTAATCAATTTATTCCGAACCCGGAAACGATATAGGAGCTGAACTTTCAAGAGCTTTTCTTTGTAGAAACTCACCGCCATAGGTGCGATAGGAAGAACAGGATCCCTTCCAAATGAAGGAGTTTCGGCTTTTTTCCAAACTAGAAGTGATAAGGCCTGAGAAAGCCTTAAGATGATTGCTAACGTATTAAATTGTGAGTGAGACTCGGATGTGAAAAGAGAGAAAATAAATGCTACAGATTTACTATGATGAATTTCTAAATGCTTTGGTTCTGAAAAGTCATGAACAGAGATTTTTTGATTTAGGATAGCTTTATTTTTCATAAATCGACATACTTCGAAAACTTGAATATAGAGAAACGTAGATCGCCTCCTTTTTTTCAGCCCTCTCTTGAATAAAAAACGAAAAATCATACCTAGCTTTAGCATCAGCTGATTTTATGTAATCACTTTGCGCTCCAATTCTGAAAGAAAGAAAAGAGCTAGAAAAAAAAGAGACGGTCTACGTTTACTGGCGAAGTCTTGTTAGGTAATAAGATTAGACAAATGAGCATCTTTATTTACTCTTTGCATAAAATTCCCTCACAAAAACAAACATGTATTAGCTAAAATGCCATGTAGAGTAGAGGGAAGCTAAAGAAAAAGAGGCGATCTGCGTCCAATCCCTGTTTCGTGAGCTTCCTAATGGTGTACAGGTTGTTGAGTAAGAAACTCGCTACTTTTCAAAAATGAGGTGGGGATATTTACCAACTGCTTGCTCCACCCCGCCTCTCAATGGCTTGGCTTCTATGGGTTGCGGTAGCAAGACTTTTTTGGACTGGGAAAGCTCTTTGCGCCAACACTTTGCATACCAATGTGTTAATTTGCAGACCATTTGCATACCTCGTGTTCTTTGCATAGCAAGGAATTGACGTAGACCGTTTCTTTCCTAGCTTTACTGTGAAGCGAGATACGAGCAATTTTATTTAGCTACAATAGCAGCCAATTCCGGGTATTATTTCATGTTTTATTTTTTGCCAAAGTCTTTTTTGCAGTTTTATATATGATTCGAAAGACGTTATTAACGCTAACAGTGCGGTACGGAGTTTCACGTATGCGTTTTTTGAATGTTGCTTCGATGCTGTCTTGCATTCATGATGACTGAGGAGAAAAGCAGCTGGCATTTCTTTCGCAAACAAGAAGTGCAAATGTAATAGCTGTTTTTTCTGCCGTTATGCCTTGATTCTAATCTCAAAGTCAGGTGAAAGGGGTCAGCCAGATGCCAGCTCTAAGTAAAAGGGGTCAGAGAAATTTCTCCACCTACTGCATCTAGGCTCACCGCGTTCCTGACCGTCACGGATAAATTGCATGACTACTCATCCCAAGCTTTTTCCAATGTAAGATAGGTGATTTTGAAAAAACCTCCCTGCAGAAGAGCAATTGCAATTTATGAACTACAATCAACAACAAATATCAGAATTAATTATTGAAAATACTATGGCTTGAATAGCGAAAAGTCAATGACAGCCGTGAGTATGTCTTTGATCTTCTCTCATTATAAACTTTGGCATGTTGTCATCTAAACTTTTTGTTTACATTCTTGCAAAAAGCTCAAGTGCGAACCGAACTGTGGGCTAAAAAGCCTCTGAATTCATGTGAAACGCAATGTTCTGAATGATCCGTGTACTGGATCCGCGCAGTGATTCATGCCGTTGGCTTCTGTTATGCAAATATTCGGCGCGTCAGCGTACCTATACTCGTTGTGTGAAGTCAGATTATCAAACGAATGACTAAGAAACAGAGAACCTCAAAGTATTCTTGTGATAAGAAATGCTAATTATGTCGAAATAAGAAACAGTTTATGGCTTATGCTGCTGGCTTATGTATCTCTTTTGGTTTTTCTTTCCGGAATATAGCTATCTAAGTGCTTTTTGACTTTTCTGTAAGCGCTCGCATAATTCTTGTATCAACGAGAGCTTCTGCCGTCTTCACTGCGTTTAAGCTAAGTTTCCAAAAGCTATGAATAAACCATGCTGCGCTAGCGCGTCTACTACTTTTGAGACTGTGCTTTTATATGTTCTAGCTCCGTAAGAAAGGAGAGAAGCAGCGCTTTTATGAAAGATGGCCCGCAAGCAAAGAGGTGCAGTCCTTTTAATACCAAGCCGTTTCAGCAGAGACTTCAGACTATCCGTCCCCTTCCTTCCCCCAACCCTGGCGCTTTAGGTGCCCGCTTTCCCACTACTTCAGTCAGCATTCAAAACGAAGTGAGTGAGCGTAATGCATGTTATAAACTACTCATTTCTTCCGCTCTGCCACGAAGCAGATTTTGGTGAAAAACTATACGTTGGAGTGCTGGTAACTTGTAGTTTTCAAGGAAACAATGGCTGATGCGAGCTACAATCCTGAGCAAAAGTTTCTTTTAATCGAGTAAAACTAGAAATTAAAAATATACTGACTAGGGAATGGACAAAACTCGAAGTGGCCAATCCAAACAAGCTGCATACCATTCGATGCAACATAGAACGCTGATTTTAGATCTGTCTCCATATCAGCAGAACGGCTCTTTAGGCGAAGTCGTGAGCAGTTCTACTGCGAAAAAATCGTGCACAAAATTGCAAAAATAAGCACATTAACATCTTCAATCACGGGCCTTTGATATGACCTAGTTGCATGCTTTGGTAAAGCACTGAGCCGAGAATGGCTCTGTACGGCCAAGTTTGCCTTTCACATGCACAATTTTCAGCACGATAATGGCCTTCAGGCAGTGTTTGGGCAAATCGCCAACTTTGCCCTTCAATGCACAATTCTCGGCACAATAATGGCCTTCAGGCAGTGTTTAGGCAAATCTAAGAGCATGGGTTTTTGCCTGAAAGCTGACGATGAGGTTTTAACTATGGCGCTGCCTAAACGGCAGCGCAAATCATTCATTCACGGCTCAAAAATCTATCCCCAAACACTTCGCATTTACGCCGTGACCGTAACTCGCGAGTAAGTTATTATGGGCCCTAGCGCGAACATAATGCTAAAGTAAGCGAAGTAATTGCCGAGTGACGGTCGCGACGCAGGCGCGGAGGGTTCGGGACGGATTTCTCAGCCGTGAATAAATCATTTGCGCGGCACTTGAGCAGTGCTTTAATTATGGCGCCCTCTTATCAGTTTCAGTTTCCAGGCGAAAAACCGATACGGCCAAATTTGCTTGGACACTGCATTTAAGAACTCATACTTTCATCCAAATTAGCGTTTTGCAGATTTGGAAGACAGATTTAGGGTCAGCTTTATGTGCTGCATTAAATGATATGTGCTTGGATTGGCCACTTCGATTTCTGACCATTCCCTTGACAGCTGTCTTTTTTCGACTTCGCTTTTTTTCAAGTTGAATCTAGCGTGGGGTAAAAAGATAATTATTGATTTTCTTCAACTTGCGTGATTAATCGATTTTAGAGCTTTGCATCTATGAATTTCAGCCGGCAACGCATATGTGTGTGTACATAGTTCGCGGTGCATGTGATTTCTCGGATAAAGCTCCACCAATTTACACAGTCTACGTTACTGATCACGTGGTAAGCATCGTTTCAAACACGTTCATTTCTGTTCCAGTTCGAATATCGAACAATTGATCCAAAGTCTTCTCTTTTTCTAACTGGAAAAGCGTGCTTTGGAGGTACCATAATCGTAAAAACCTTTGACTTACAGTATTCAAAGATTTGCTATTACGAAAATGGCATTGCTTTTTGCTCATGCAGTACTGAGCTGTGCAATGGGGATATTGAATTGATGCGGGTAAGTACTGAGTAGCAGAACTGCAATTTCAAGCTGTATGAAAGAGGAATTATGCCGTTGTATTATTATTGAAGACATTGTTTCAGAAATTATGGGACAAAACAATAATCACCGACGAAAAAGTACATGAATGCATATCAGAGTATCTCAAGACAAGTGGGTTTGATTGCGTGTGCTGCGTTCACATTGTTCCCGGACTTCGGGATCGGTATGAATGGCCCCAAAGGTTTTATTACGAAGAAACTATAGCACATTGGATTAACTCATATGATGCTCAAATACCCAACATCGTGACCCTATCGTCATCCTTTTTTGAGATGCTATGATAATTTAAATATGATAAGCAAGTGTGTTAAAATAATAGCTCGCTTTGAGCATAAGGCAAGGACAGCACCTTGTAGATGTTGGATCCTCTCTCATATTACATTTTTGGCGTTGACGGATCTTTGTAGCAGCTTTGGTGCACGAAAAATAAGAGATTTATTCCTTTGTTTTCCAATTCTTCATAAAATACTGAAGAAATTGAGCGTTTCAGCCTACTTCATAGTCATAAAGCAAATTCGAGAGCCGTTCAAACAAAAAAATATATAGATAAGCAAAGTTGCAAGACTTGGCTTGGCCTTCATTTTGTACGCGCATCTGCTAGCAAAGTATCACAAAACGATCTGAGATATGTATACCACATCAAGTAGCATATTACTGAAAGTTAAGAATTTTCTTTTCTGTATTTTAACCGTGTACGACGCTGCGAGTTGCTGAATAAGTGGGAAAAGCCTTAAGCAGCATTTTATTCAGAAAAATGTTGCAGGAAGTTCCTCAATTCATGTTTATAAGTATTTGTTAGTTTATAAAGGGATGATCTAAGGCCTCGGGCAGAGTTCACGCGATTTCACTGTCGCAATTCATCGCGACAAGACAAGTGCTACGAATTCATTGCATACCGATGTTCCAGTGGCGTACCGAGGGAGGGGTGGGGGGGGGGGGGGCGTGGTCGCGAGTTTTTTGAAAGTTACTTACATGTTTATGAAAATCTGCAAGTGACTTGTTTATACTTGTAAATAATCAAAATAAATTGAAAATTTTTAAAAATTGAAATTAGCCTCCGAAATACAAGAAAATCGGAATGCATTGAACTCATAACTGTTTGTCTTGTTGGAAGAATCGCGACGATGAAATCGCTGAACTCTGCCCGAGGTCTAACGCCTTGTTTTTACCAAACTGCTTAGGTTAACATTCATAATATCATCAATTCAGGAGAATCATTACCTCTTCCAAAGGAAGAAAAAGAGGTTGGTTTAATCCAGCGTTTTTCTTGGAATTGAATGTGCTTGATTTGGTCTTTGTACATTTTTAGAACGAATCAGAAGGTAAGAAACTCAAAAGCCGAAGAAATATGCGCATTGAAAATAACTCGCGTAAAATCCCAAATCTGGAAATACTAAATGACACTTTTTATTCACCTTGTCTTTTCAAATATAAGCAAGCAGAAAGCATTTGCTGTTTAGGTAGTACAAGCACTGCTTCTAGCGAAGTGGAGCCAGCTCTTCAAAAAGGTGGATCTCAGATAAGACCAGAGAGTGACGATGAAGAAACAGAAAGTGATGCCGATTTGTAAGTTAATATGCTGTTCTTGTTTTCAAAGGCGTTTACTTACGTAAATTACTAGCTTGACTTACAATTTCTTCTGTTCAAAACAACACGAGGTGGCTATTCCATTTTTTAGAAAAAAGTTTCTCCCCGTTGATTTTGCAACAAAAATTCCCTATGTCTTTCAACCCAAGTGATATGGTCATTTTAAATCATGTTAACTTTGTTTCGAAGGGTAATGCAACTTCCTGTACTTGATACAAAGTACTAATTCTTTGTTCTTAGATCTAAGAGATTAAGAGCAATCCAGAAATTGTTCGTTCCATTTTTCATTTTCAATATCTCAGATAAAGAAGGTAAATCAGGCTCTAATCTCATCCGTTAAATTAACGAAACTTGGACTATCGACTATTCTTGCTGCCCCATCGCGACCCACGTAGTAGCGCAGACTTGGCATATTATCGTAACCCAACAATTGCGCAGTATTTTTGTTTTTCCCTAAGAAGATCGATTTTAAGCGAAATTTTTACAGTGTAAAGAAGATAATTCAGCAGTGGCGAGGATGTAAAAACACAGACATTTGAATGCTCCGAAGTAAGTTAAGGGGTGTTGCATAACCCCTGAAAAGGTGTGGCAGCCAAATCTTTTCTGGGGATGTGCCACACTTCCATTAACTTACTTCAAAGAAAATTCCAGCTTATAAAATGCAGACAATTCGATAGCCAATATCTTGTAGTTTTTGTAGAGGTGATTAGAGCAGAATTTGTTGCTGGAAGCACAGTTAGTGCAAGCGAAAATTGGAACAAGTGAGATTTTGACTGGTTTTTAATGCTATAGTTCGATAGTTATACAAAGCAGGATTTGTGGTGTGGACAAAAAGGAAGGAGTGCTTTGTACTGAGTACAAAAAAGGTAGCTAATTCATTGTCAAAATATAGCTAGCCATGTTTGAAAATGACCACTTCACTTGAATGGCGCAATTTTAAGATCTTCCATAATTCGCAAACTTGGCTCACGAAGGTTATTGTCATGATAATTACGAATTTGTTACTAATTATGCTTGGTAGGCTCTTTATGCCATGCGTACGGTAGGCAAACGATAATGCTGGGGTGGGCGGGGGGGGGGGGGGAGAGTTCCGGCGGTCGTGCGCCACACCTTCTCAGACATTCGCGGTTGAGGACCGCCGGTGAAAGGGAGTTCGACTCATTGAAAACATGCGGTACACATCCGTTTGTTTCGGGACAATCCGGCTATTGGTTCGGGACAACACTGCCGGAGAAACGCCGGTCGAACAAGTTTCACCTGCGCCGGTGAAATGCAGGAGTCCCGAACCGACCATGGGGCATGGAATTAGCCGTAGAGCGCACTTGATATTGTTCAAATTTCCGGCATACACTGTATACTATGTAAACAACAACGACTGAATCGACAGAAATTTATTCATCAACTCAACGACAAAACCATAACAAATGATAAGAAAACTCGTAACAACAAAATCGCAGCAGCAAAATTATATATTCCTGAGCAAAAAGAGAAAAATCTAGTGTCAAAAACAGAATCGCAACAAGAAAATCATACATAACATATGTGAGCAAAAACACAAAAAAGGAATCAATCTTCCTCAGGCGACTCCCGGACTTCCGTTTTCTCGATCGTTGTCCCTTCTTGCGTTGTTATTACTCTTTTTTTTCTGAAATTGAAAAAGAACGAGTGACATCACAGCTCTGAATAGAGAAACTTACCTTGGGCGGCATGAGCGTCAGGCGTGCTGCATCGAATTCATATTGACGAATGTCGGCTCTGAAAACAAACGCGGACGTTAGCACCCTCCACAGGAATTTTTTACACCCACCCGGGCGAGACCAGAGTAAGATAAAGCATGAAATACTTACAATGCTCTGCAGAGGGCTTGGCGTGCATGCGTACTCCAGTCTGTTCGCGCTTCGGATAGCGCATCGAACCTTTTTCTTCTTTGAGACTCTCCGTCTCGCCCAAATCAGCCCAGTACCTGAAACGGCAATAGATATCTTCTGTCATTTACGTGGTGAAAACTACCTTCCGTGAATTCTAGCGCAATCTGCGGGTGGTAAAAGGAGTTCATCGCCAAACAATCCCATTGCATCAAGGAGGAAATCTGAAATTTGAAGTCAACTCCTTCAAGTGGTCTCAAGGAAACTCGCCTACGAGGAAAGTGACCAATGATTCGGGAAGGTCTTTCAGGCTTTTGTCCTTGCCATTTTTGCCGGATTGTCGATATGCGTATTGTTGAATGACGTGAATGGGATCACATGCCTAAATACATGTAGCTCTCGAACTTGACTGCACAAGATAGTACTTACGTTGAGGAAAAAGTGACGGTAGAAATCCAGTAGATGCAGGTAGTGGTCGTGCTTGTGCGAGCGCACTGGACGTTTCCAAGACTCAAAAATCGAAATCATGTTTATCTCCTAAAATGGGCTGATCTTGGCCCAAACCCAAGCCTGCTACACTGCGTTACCTTGAAGGGTGGCTGTGCTTTGATGTTCCAAGTTTTCGTTATGTTCCTTCTCAAAAACCCGCAATTTTCCGGCAATGATTTCGACTTATTTTTCGCGAGATGGTATCTTGTTCTCTGCACTTATTTTTCTAGGTCGCGCACTCTGCTCAAGACAACGTCCATCTGTAAATCGACGTTGAGTATGTAAAAGCGTTAAACGACTGCTTACAACGATCGATAATCCGCAAATAACGTTCGTCTGTTCGCGCACTATGCTGGTCATGCTGCGCACGATCGAGTCCGACGAATGCGGAAGGGTGTTCACATTTTCTGGGAGTCTTGTGATGTGTTCAAGATTGATGGAAGCGTTGTTCATTTTATGAATCAACGACTCCTTAGCAATTCGTATATAATGTCAGAGTCAGTTGTTAGCCTATTGGTTAACCTTATTCTCGGCATCCTGCTGGATATGGTGGAGAACTTTCCCCAATTTCGAAAGAGAAAGTAAATTGCCTTCTAACACACTTTTCAATAGTTCTGCAATATGCGTAATTACTACTGATGGTTACCCCAGGGCCGATCACCTTGTCCATCAGCCGTTACCGGCAGCGCCAACTCTCTCGAAATGCCATTGTGCCCAGCTGCTTCTCTACATACCTGTTCGAGAGGTTTGCGAACCACCTCCTAAACATAGGAATGCTTATAGTTTCGAAAACGAAAACATTGATTGAGCACATGCTAGCAACGTGAAAGTCCGCTATACAAAAACATGAGCGAAATCGCTGGTTATTATCTTCAAGGCGATTATTGAGCCATAAAAAAGCCAAAAACTTTTTCAATTTTTGCATTTTTTTCTTCCGTAAAAAAAGTTCGCGAAATTGCCGATCTCATATGAACTGGTATGAAATGTTGATGATAGAACTAACTGTGCAACGACGAAGCAGAGGTCCCATTTGTTTCCGGTAATTCAACGCGCTTGCGAGACACTAGTTCCTCATAAGACCTGCTCGGTTCTTCTTCAAATAAGTCGTCCTCTGTAAATAACGATGTTTGAAGGTTCAACGTGTTACATCAACACTCACCCGATACGAGAAGATGTTCCAGAGCGCGAGCGATTTACGTAGATTTGTAGTGCGCTGAAGCTACCAAGTCAAACAACTCATAAATGAAACTTTTACACAAAGAACTGCACTTAACACATCAGGCCGATCGGTTCCTCACACTCTTCCAATCAGTTAGAGTATCGAATAATAAACTTGAAATCAATGAACGTCCCCACAATAAGACAATTGTAAACACGCGGAAATATTGATGACGGATGAGAATAGAAACGCTGGTAATCGCTGCTGAAAATCCAAAACGCTTGCTTAATCGAATAAGGTTTGACTCTATTCTTTTCATTAAAAAAACGACGGTTAGCGGTAATACCAAAAATCGTTTGGTTCCACAGGAAAAACATTGCATCGAACGCAAATCTGATGAGGAAGACCGACTCTAATATAATTTAGAATGCAGCATTAGGCTAACCGGAGAGAAACAGCAATAACAAGAACCAAAAAAAGTAAGACCTGGATGATGATCTGCCATGCATGAGCCGGCTATCCTCACTGCATGCAGGAATGAAAATGAGTTTGATCGCGAATGATGGCGTCCCTCCGATACCTGTCGGCACTTGTCAAGCACGTCCGGTTGAACCCGAACGAGTCAGAAGGCATATCGATTGTATTGATAAGCGTCGGAACAATCCCGACGCAATTGCCGGTGAAGTCGGGACAACGGCAGGACACAACTTTGTCCCGAAACAAACCGAAAGTGGGCGGATCTCCGGCGGTCGTCAACCGCGAATGTCTGAGTTTGTGCTCGGCCCTGGTTGAGACTAGGCAAAAAAAGAATTTTTTAAGAGCTCCAAAGTGTGTAATTTGGGTTTAAATTGAGTTTTATTTTAAAGTTGGAAGATGAAGAGAGAAAATTTGTAACTTTTTGTTCTCGGAGCCATCTCAAGTAGCTCTCAAGTGGTGCAAGAGGTGACTGTGGATTGTAGAAGGGGGGGGGGGGGAGGTGGAAATATGTACGTGAATTGCCAATGGCGATGGGCTAAGTTTTATTAGGGGATAGGGCTGTAAGGCTGCAAAAATGCTGGGTTGATAGGGGTGAGATGGGCCTACTACCCGAAGTTATTTAGTCGGCTAAAAAAATTCAATTCTAAATTGCCTTGCATGGTTAGAAAGTTCTTTCAGAAACTTTCCAGCTTCGGTACACGAAGTAGTTGACGATTATTTCTTCTTCACTATACTGAGGTTAATAGATGCATTTTTTCGGGGCTTCGTCGCGGAGGCCCGTAAAAAAGACATTTCATTTGCTTTTACCCCAAAAGACCATTAAGCCTGCTTCGTAAGGCGCCTGTGCCAAGCGCTTCCCAATTCTAAAAACATTTTATACTGTTTTTTATTGTTTTTCCGTTGTTCCACTTTTATACGCTAGCTCCCTGCTCCCATGTTTTTGTAATCACGTGTTATCTTACTCCCCCCTTGCCCCAGTAATGCCCCTTGCCAGCTTGCAGTTCGTAGCTGAAAGTGTTGTAAAAACTTGATCAAATCGATAGAGGCTAGATAGTTCTAAAGATAAACACTGTTTTCGCATACCATCCTTTCCCTCCTCGCTGTGCCAACGCTTTCTCTAACTACCTGGAATTCGTTAAACTCGGTTGAGGCAATCTGCTTTTCAAAAATAATTCGCCGGCATAATTTTTTTCCATAGCCATCACAAGGAGTGTCTTCTAGACTGAAAATTTCGAAATTTTTCAAAAACTTTTTATTTTACAAAAACAAAAACAAAAAAACAAAACAGAAGAAATTGAAGATACATAACTTATTGGGAAAAGTAGTAGCTGCGCATACTCTGCTTATTGTGTAGTTAAGAGTCAATGAAGTAATGGTGTGAAGCTTGAATTTCACGAATATTCAGAGAGAAAATACCGCAAAAAAGTCGAAAATACTTGCTTTTTTCGTCATCCCATAAACTAAAAAATGCTTTTCCAATTTCTTCAATTTTTTGGCTGAATAAGGGGGAGACCCTATTATTTTTCTGTCAATGTAATAAGCATCCTCATTGCATAAAGCGGATGTTCAGCAACAGCTTTTTGCTCAGTGGTTTTACAATATACAGAAGGGCCTCAACGACCACCCAAATTGCAATAAATTTTCGGGTCAAGATCTTTCAAAAAAGTGATTTTAAAGCACAAAATTGCACTTGTTATGCATGTTTTATCGAATAAATCCGGCTATTTTTCGTGGATTCGGAAAAAAGAGTGAAAAGGAAGAAGTACAATTTAGTCTCTTGTCTTTGAAGGTATAAAACTTAGAAATGAACTACGGTTCGTGAAAGGGAAGACAAATTAAGAAATTAGAAGACGCGCCCTTTTAGTTAACGTAAGGGGTGCAGCCTCCGGGGAAGGGTGCCGAGAGACTTCTAGATTTATCTTTGTACATTATGGTAATCTGGGTATAAGGTCAAAATTCGGTTAGATAGCATTAGCATTAATTTAGACAAGGAGATTTGCTGTTCAATGAGAAATCTTTCTTGATCCATTTTGCGAAAAGTGGAAACTCTATGCAGATACCAGCGGCGGTCCCAGGATTTCCGTCCGGAGGGGGAGGGGGGGGGGCTGCGAAAAAATTTTTCAAATGAGTGCGTGGCGTCAGCTACGCACACCGAAAAATTTTTTAAGGGTGCTTCCCAAGATTTTTGCGGGTCCCCAACCCCTAAAATCTGGAAAAAGGGGGCGTTGCCGCGGCCACGCTTCCGAAAAAATTTCTTCTATAAGGCTAATTTTGAAATTTTTAAAAGATTAAAAAATTATTTTAATTGTTTACAAGAATAAACAAGTCGCTTGCACATTTTTATAACCCACGTAAGTGGATTAAAAAACTTTTGCGACCCATTCTCGGGCCCCCCCCCCCGCTCCCCCCCTCTTCGGTCCGCCACTGGCAGATACCAAAAATTCAAACCCGTTTTGCAAAAGTACAGACTTTTTTCATTACAATCATTGCAGCATCATCTTCGTGATCCTTGTGGTTGTGGCAGTGGTCTTGCTCATTTCTATATTGCCAGCCGTCATCTGCTGTATGGCATTGAGATCAAAGAAGAAGCAAAGAAGATCAGAGTATGCGAGCTTAAAAACCAGATCGAGCAAGTCGACCAATAGAACGGGTGGCGGTAGAACTGGAAAAAGCAACAAAAGCACATTAAGCACAACTAGTGCTAACTCTCTAAACACTGGAAGGAGCAGTACGAAAAAATCAAAAAACACGAAGAGTGCGGCAACCGGACCAACTGGCAGAAGAAGACTTGCTTCCGCAAAAAGAGGTGGAGAATTGAAAAACAAGAGAAGATAAGCGAGAAACAATGTACATTGTGCAAAACGCTAATTCTAATAGCTGCATAAAGCTTTCTTGCAATTTCATGTGCAGAGATTACTGTTCGTTAACGATCTGCGCAATAAAGCTCTGCGTATGATTTTTTGGGGATGCGTGATTTGGCTCAGAGAAAAGTGTCGCTGGAAAAATTGCTTTATATCCAGATTTCTTTACATCTAAAAAAAAGAGAAACGGCATTGCCATTAGATTACTTACTTGAATAGTGATAATAACAATTCCAAGTTGTTTTCAACTTTTTGATAATGAAGTCATCATCTCGGTGTGCCAGTGACTGCTTTTCATTTGCTCTGAGGATATCGTGCGTTTAAACTTTTTCTTGAGATTCCCAAATGGCCAGACCATAGATCGCAATCAAACATACACACTATTTGAGAAAATATCGGCGGGATTGTCGAAAATTGGAATCTGAAAAGCTTAAGGAGACTGGTGGTAAGGAAATACAGGAACCTCGGGAGAGTTTACGTCTATCTCAGCGTCTAGTGTATCTTCAAGAAAAAATTGGTGATGTGGGGCGCTGCAGATAGAAACTGCATTCCCTCAAAGATTGCCTGAAAAAAAGAAAAATTTACACCAACGTCTCGTGAAAGCTGTAATGCCATCAGCTTATTACTGGAGGAAAGCATCAGCTAGCTTGGCTTCTTTGGCGCGCTTTTCTAAACGATTTCATAAGAAAAAGCATGACAGCAGATGGGCGAAAGTTGAGTTGAGATGAGCAGCGTGTGAAAGGATCATAAGCTTACTTGCGAATGGGTAGTTTAGGGGAGAATCTGTGAGTCCGTCAGAGTTGGGTAAGAATAGAACATCGGCAAACGTATAGCTTGGTATGGTGTGATAGAATTTAAGTCTGCTTAATCGGTGCAAGAAATCTACTGAAAGGCCTTTTCATCTACAATCCTTTTTAGTTCGGTGTAAGCCCAAAATTATTTGTTATAGCTGGCTAATGGAGAAACAGATGTTGTAGAAAATTTACCCTTTACGTTACACGAACTGACAGACATACACGCAAAGGTAACTCTCGGAGAGCACACTTCTGCTGATATCAGCTTTTTTGGTAGTAGGATGGCAAACTTGCTTGTTGTCGATACTTTCCTGCAACTTACCGGCCTCCCAATGGCACGTCTTCGAGGAACGAAGGTATTTTAGATTTAATGAGCCACTTCGTCATCGCATAACATAATCTACTTTAGTATTGCCAGATGAGTAAATGAATTGCTGAGAACCTCCTCCACATTTTTTATAATTTTTTTCGAAATCTATAGTTATGACTTTAGAATGTGAAAATTCTCGAATACTTCGCCGATTTCGCCGACAGTCTTCACATTCTAAGGGCTCATGTCTTTCAATAAGATCTCGCTTCAAATTACATTTGGTTGCAAAAATAAAGGGATGTTTACACACCCAAGAACATCCATTCACATGGGACATTTAAGAAGATTTTCGAAGAATTTTGGAGCATACTTGTTCCGTCAATATTATGGCTTCATGTTTAATGGAGAGTTAACAACTCGGCCAATATTGCAGATGTGTTGCTTTGGGTAATATAATTGAACAGACCTCTAATAGCATAAACTTTTGAAGAGAAGGTTTCCAAGGTTGAAGTTTCGAAAAAATTGTATAAATGTCAGCCGGAATTGCCCCTTCCTATATGCAGCTCTGAGATTTTCATTTTCAGTAACTTAATTTGTGAATGTGCACATTAAGCGCGGCAACCGACGGCACCCCTACTAGTAACTCCTCAGTAAAAAGTTTCCTAGCAAATAAACTGTAGGAATGTGTTCTATTAGCTACTACATAAGCAACCAAAGGGACAAGAAAACAAAAGGAAATCACTGAAAATGGGTCGGTTCATTATTGAAATGATTATTCACAGTGTTTAAATACCATACAGCTTGTCGCCTCTACCCCTATACAAGTCAGGGTGCAATGTAGAGCACTCCCGAGGCTCATTAGTAGGGAAGAGTGGTGATAGCAGTAATACATAGAAATGAGCTAGAGGGACTCTATTTATACGTTAAGGGTAGAGCGAAAAGATCAAAGGAAATTGGGGATTAAAATTTTGAAGATCAAAGAAGTTTAAGCCTTTGAAGCAAGAATCTAATAAATTTTTTTGTATTTTAAAGAATGTAATTCCAAGTATTTTGTGATAATATTAACAATATTATATAAAGTCTATAAAGCGCAGGTGTGCATCATATGTTAAGTTACAAATGATTCAAGGATACGCCCATGATCGGCTTTCAAATTTGTGTGGAGGCGGGTTGCGGACTTACCCTGCTAAAAGGATAAACTCCCCCACAGGCCCCGGACAGACTTCATGCGATTTGATCGTCGCGACTCAATCGCCGACATTTGCATTCATTTTCATTTCACATTCAAAAATTTCGGGCTCGAAAAGTATCACAACCGAAATGCAAGTTGATCGGCATGGAATGACGTTGTAACAGTTGTCTCGTCGCGATTCAGTCGCGACGATCAAATCGCGTGAAGTCGGTCCGGGGCCACAACGGTCGGGCGCCTCAACATGGGGGGTCACTGAGTGGCATGGGGGTGACACTGAGTGTCGAACTGCGATGCACAATCGAGTAAACCTTTCACATCGTATCCCGCCTACGGCGCTGAGTGGTAGCAAGAACGTTGTCAGGGTACTCAGGGCGCCTCTCGGATCGGACAAAAGCGACACGTCTGCCTGGACAACACGCCACGAGGACTGCTTCATGCTCTGCACCTACAACGCCAGAACAGTCTCGCTTTGGGCAATGCTTCAAATAGGACCCCCTCGAAGGTTTCCAGGCAAAAAACCCATATGCCCCAATTTGGACACTGTCTTTGAGGAGCTGGAAATTTGAAAAATGTACTGTTTTAGAAATTTTTACTTGAAATCGTCATATGGTATTGTTCCTTATTGCTGATTCTTGGTGCACGTGCTGGTAGTCCCTCGTAATACAAAGGCGCCGTTTAAAACTCCGCAATGACGTATTGATCTCTATCAATTGACTGGCACTCGATACAGTGCACTCAATACAAACTCATTTCGGAAGGAAATTTGAAAACACTACGCATTTTAGCAAAATTCAGGCAAGCGACCTATAATCATTAATCATTGCACTTTGAAGTCTGAAAACAGTTAAGAATTCCGCGGCTGTCTTTACTGTTGTAACGTGCTACTCTTGTGAGATGAAAATGAGTACAGCAAAACTAACTATTTTGTCTGAAAAGGTAATCGATGATCTTGAATATCTCAAAATTTGCTAATAAATGTTGTTTTGAAAGAGTGTTAAATGCTGCACAAAGTTTTTTTTCTCTGCGTGCAGATAGAATAAGTGTGTGATATAAGTTATTGTGATCACACTGCAAGCTATAATATTTTGTTACACCTTTGCATACTAAAGAATCTTTGAACTATTTGGCGTAACTTGAGCTCATAGAAAATCTAAGAAAAATGAGGGCACAGCCCCTATGACTTTTCTTGTTACTTTTAAAAAAATTTATTCTACCCAACACCCTTTTTCCTACTTTTCTTCCATTTTTTAATTTCCTCATTTTATCCCTTGTCCCATTCTTATACATACTCTTAGATAAGAGGGCCTGCCCTCTTTCAAAAAACAGGGACTCTTTTGATGGGGTTAAACCAGTGGTAAGCCGGCAAGGAATGGTAGCTTCCACGCCTCCAAAAGGGTCAATTCTATGCCTTCACACATTTTTCTCTTTCATGCCCATAGAATCAAGGGTTAGCCAGAACCCTGGTAGCAGCCCTACCGAATTCACCGTTCCTCTGCCTATAGAATGGACCTTCCATAAAGCTTAGATCATAGGTCACTCAAAAAAATTCAAAATTCTCCCAGTGGTTTTGATAGTAGTAGTTATTATAAAAACACCAAGTTTATTAAGTGCAGGGATACTAATTCCAAAGAATATTACATAAAAAATTTCGGAGACAACAAAAAATTCCAACCTTGCTCTGATAATTGTAGATACTGCAACATCATCAATCAAGAATCATTGATCAAGTCAACTACTACTGCCACTAATATTCACTGTTACATTGGAGACAATACTTCCTGTAATAAAAGAAACGTAGTCTATTGCATAACATGTGAAAATTGCAAGAGACAGTATGTTGGGATTACTACCAGGAAAATAAAGGAAAGAATAAGAGAACACATCTATCATATAAATAAGGAAGATTTGAATAATTACCTTTACTCACATTTTTCAAAAGAATGTAGAAACCATAAAATACAATTTCAAATATTAGATAGTTTGGAAAGCAATGCAGATAAAAATGTTCTGTTAGAAAAAGAGTTATTTTGGACTAAACTGCTCCTTACAGCCTATCCATTTGGATTCAACGATAATATCAAAGGATATGGAAATATATCAAATCTAGATAATCCGTTGAATTATAAACCCAATCACCCTTATATAATCTTGAAGTTGTTAAAGAAAGAATAAGAAATAAAAATAAAAGTAAAAATAATTTTGCTAATAAGACAACAAAAAAACAAAAGCCACACATAAGTCAAATTATAGAAAAAATCAACAAGATTGATAGTAATCTTCTTCTTTACAGGTACATTCATTCTTTAAAACTTTCAAGCATTAAAACACTGATAGGATTAGGTTACAACACTTCAACCATCTCCCAAATTAAAGAACAGAATAGAAGCGTTCTAATTTGCATTCTTTGTAAATTTCAATTCAAGACATTGAACAAAAAGTCGGAAAATAAAGATATGCTTACCTGTAAAGTAAACTACATTCATCCTATTCTAGATAAAATCAATATAAACAAAATTTTAAACAATAACAAACTAACTAGCATTATTAAAACAAATTCTAGAATAGAATATAAACCATTCAGAGTTGTTTTCCAATACGACAATCCTATTTCGTCAATAATTTTCAACTTTAATAAAACACTTAGAAATTTAACAAATGATATCCTACTTAAAAATATTACCCAAGACTGCATATGTTGTTCAACAGATTATAAAAAATATATCGATCCTTA